TGATCCACTGCTAGGAATACATCCTAAGAAACCCGAAACACCAATCAGAAAGAATGTATGCACCCCTGTGTTCATAACAGCACAATTTACAATAGCTAAGATCTGGAAACAACCCAAATGCCCATCAGTAGATGAGTGGATAAAAGAGCTGTGGTACATTTATACCATGGAATACTATGCAGCAATAAAAAAGAAGATTCTCTTACCTTTTGAGACAGCATGGAGGGACCTAGAGAATATCATGCTAAGTGAGATAAGTCAGTCTGAGAAAGACAAATATCACATGATCTCACTCATATGTGGAATCTAAGTAACAAAATGAACAGATGAACGAATGGATCCAGAGACACGGAAGCATGGAACAGTGTGGAACCTTGGAGGGAAGGCAGGGGAGGGTGGGTGGGTGGAAGGTAGTCAACCAAAGACCTTGTATGCATATATGCAAAACCCATGGCCACAGACAATGGGTGGTGAAGGCCTGGGGCGGGAATGGGGAGGATTGGAGGGAGATCTGGGGGGGGGGGGGGGGCAGGGGACATATGTAATACTCCCAACAATAAAGAATTATTTAAAAAAATATTTCTTATAAAGGGCATCGTGGGTTTGCTCAGTGGAGAAAAAAATGGACACATAATAATATGCTTGTACTTGTATAAAATGCCTGGAAAGATACATTAAAAAGCCCTCTTATTATCAGTTATTGCTATAAAATGGGACCAGGACCATGAGTATGACCTTAATACCCCCCCATATTACATAAACTTCTTAAATGTGCATTTTAAAATTCTCTTTTGAAGGTTTTTTTAGGGGTAAATATTCTGATAATGGTGAATAATGTTTTTTAAAAATATATTTTATTGATTTTTTACAGAGAGGAAGGGAGAGGGAGAGAGAGTTAGAAACATCAATGCGAGGAAACATCGATCAGCTGCCTCCTGCACACCCCCTACTGGGGATGTGCCTGCAACCAAGGTACATGACCTTGACTGAAATCGAACCTGGGACCCCTCAGTCCGCAGGCCGACGCTCTATCCTCTGAGCCAAGCCAGTTAGGGCGGTGAATAATGTTTTTAAGTTGTTTATAAAATCCTGAGTAATAGTACTATTTGTAAATATGGCCTGAAATTAATGACCATGTCACCTGTTGCCTTCTAAATCGTGCTTTGATTTCACAAGGGAAAGCAAGTCTAATACCTCATTAACTGACTGAACCATGTCCATGTAGGGTATGGAATCCCACTTGTGTGATAACAGACAAGCAGTAGGAACCTCTATTTTTTTAAAAAAATATATTTTATTGATTCTTTACAGAGAGGAAGGGAGAGGGATAGAGAGTTAGAAACATCGAGAGAGAAACATCGATCAGCCGCCTCCTGCACACCTCCCACTGAGGATGTGCCCGCAACCAAGGTACATGCCCTTGACCGGAATTGAACCCGGGACCCTTCAGTTCGCAGGCTGACGGCCTATCCACTGAGCCAAACCAGTCAGGCCAGGAACCTCTATTTTTGCCTTTTATCCTCTAGTCATCTTTTTCTTGGACATAAATAAGATATTTTTTTGGAAGAGTGTTAGACTTGATACAGAAAACATTGCTCAGTGTCAAAGCAAGAGTAGAACAGAGGTGGAGGATGGTGAAAAATGACTCCCAAAGGGGACAAGAGTGGGAACTGACGCACAACCAGCCAATCCACTGAGGAGGAGGCATCCCTGGATGAGGCCTCTAACCCTGACTCCAATCGCAGAGGCGGAGCCCATTGGCCTGATGGCTGCAGTTCTGCCTTGGCTTGGACCAGGGCCTGGGAATGTTGGGGAAAAACACAGCCCTTTGTTCTCTTCAAGAAACAAAGCCAATTATATTTTCAGCAACTTTCAACTATAATTCTTTGGATAAATAAAGCCTATTTCCTCCCAAGAACTCAAAGGCAACGTCCAAGAAAGACCCTCATTTCATGCCTCATTAATTGCTGCTTCTCTGCTTTGTAATCCTCACCTGCACAATGGGCGAAGGAACTGCTTCCTCTGCAAGTTTTCTGGGTCTCACGAGAAAGGCAAATCCAATCCAAAAAGCAGCTTTCTTTTTTCTGAACGTAGGGCCTTCAAACTAAAGCCTTCATAAAAGACGTTTTTGCAACTTTCCTTCTTGCACTTGGCCTCTCAGTGAATTCTTCAATGTGAACGGAACTTCATGTTTATACAAAACAAATGACTGAACAACCTGGTGGCTTACAACACAGCAACATATTATGTCTCACTATTCTGTGGGTTGGTCGGGCAGTTCCTTGCTGGCTTTGCCAGGCTCACTCACGTGGTGTATTTAGCTGCGCACTCTGTTGGACTGGAAGTTCCCAAATGCCTCACCCACTGTCCTACAGCTGGTGGTGACTGTGAGATGGGCACCTCGGTTCTCTTCTGGTCCCTCGTCATCAGGTAGGATAAACCAGTCCCTTATGAGACTCCCTTACAGTCAGGGCCAGATTCTGGAAGAGCAAACCAGAAGCTGCAAGGTCCTTGAGCTGCAAGGTTCCAGCTCACACCATGTCACTTATGCTACCATATATAGTCAAAGCAAGTCACATTGCCAGCCCAGATGCAAGAACTAGGGGAAGAGACTCCATCGCCTCACTGGAGAAGCCCAAAGCTCTGAGGTCACATTTAACCTACCACATTCCACTCTGGCCACAATTATTTTCATTCTCTTACATGCAAAATACGCTCATTTCCTCCCAATATGGGCCAAAGTCCAGTATCCTGTGACTTTCATCTGGTCCAGATAGGGATGAGACTTCCTAGGGTGCAGCTTTTTAAAATACAGAACATCGTGACCGAATTAACTAATTAAACTAGTTAACTGGCGTTTATATATCAAACATATGATGCTGAGGGAGGGACAGGATAACTACAGCAGATACTTCCTTTCATTAAGGATTTGTCACTAGTCCATAGTAATTCTGAAACCCAACTAGGCACTGCCATCCGTTCACACGGTCAAAGGCAGGGAACATGAATCAGGATTCATTTCTGGTACCTGGGAGTGGTATCCTAGTCCATTGTGGGTTCTTGGCTACGACTTTCTAAAAAGTCTTCTTTCTATAAGAAATAGTCACTGTTTACAACTAAACGTTTTTCTCATCTTGCTCCTTCCTATTGAAATTTGGTGGCCAGGGGACTTCTTTTCATTGTAATACAAATTCCTTAAAACTTTATGGACTTTCTGTTGTGATGAAAATTCAAGGAAGAAAGTATAGTTTTTTCAATAAATACTGCTGACAACTGGATATCTATATGCAAAAGAATAAAGGTGGATCCTTTCCTCACACCATAAACAAAAATTAACTGAAAATGCATCATAAACCTAAATATAAGAAAACTATAAAGTGAGAAGACAACCCACAGAGCTGAAGGAAATATCTGTAAATCATACATCTGATAAGGGACTAGAATCTAGAATATATAAAGAACTCTTATAATTCAACAAAAATACGAATAATCTAATTAAAAAATGGTCAAAGAATTTGAGTAGACATTTCTCCCAAGATATATAATTGGTCAATAAGCACATGACAATATGCTCAACATCATTAGTTATCATGGAAATGCAAATCAAAACCATGAGATACAACTTCACACTTCATATCAGTTGTCATATTGTTTAAATCATTAAATAGGTCTTAATAAAGGGTTATATAACCACACCTTTGGTGTGACTGTTTTTCTGAGGCTAGTTCTTACTTTGAGAATCTTTTGCCATTGGAGATATTGGAAATGGGAAACCATTTTACTTCCCAATCCAGAATTTCCTAAGCCCTTAAGTATCTTTTTAAAAATCTGTTAAAAGCCCTAGCCAGTTTTGCTCAGTGGATAGAGCATCAGCCTGTGGACTGAAGTTTCCCAGATTTGATTCTAGTCAAGGGCACGTACCTCAGTTGTAGGCTCCTCCCTGGCCCAGACCTTGGTTGGGGGCACCTGCAGGAGGCAACCAATCCATGTGCTTCTCTCACATTGATATTTCTCTCTGTCTTTCCTTCTCTCTTCCACTCTCTCCAAAAATCAATGGAAAAATATCCTTGGGTGAGGATTTAAAAAAAAAAAAAATCTGCTAAAAGACAGAACAGTTCCTTCTTTAGCTCATCTATCTTTTCTATACCCTATTATATTCCCCTAAATAAACAAAAAATGGCCCTCTGACACTTTTAACATTCCACCTGAGATACCCTTAACTGACCCATGAGTCCATTAGATATAAGTTCTCTTTTCTAGGTTATACAAGCCACAGTTCTGCCAAATGTATCACCACTACACAACATGGCTGACCTAGCTGTGCCCTGTGGTGCTCTCTTTCCCAAGAAAAAGGTCTCATTCCAAACTTAGAATTTTATTTTATTTATTTTTTTAAGCTTATTTTATTTATTTATTTTAGTGCCAAACTTAGAATTTTAAAGAGAATGAGCTTTCAGCATTATTTCCAGCACCAGTAAATAACTCCCTAGAGAAGCTGATGTCTAAGCTAAGCCTATCTCTCTCCCATGTACCTTTCAAGGGCCCCCTCCTGCTTACCTTATATAAAGGTCAGTTGGGTTCCTCCCCTGAAGCACAGCCCCAAAGCATGTGCAGCTGTACTTCTTCCAGTTTTAGCTTTCACCAAGTGGTGTTTGCCAGATTCTTGCTTAATGCCCTCTCAGGGCCAAAATAACACCATCGACAAAATGACAACCAGCTAATACCCTTAATAGATAAGAAAGAACCCTTACAAACCAGTGAGAAAAATAAAAAAGAGCAATTAAAGAGTGGCATATATATATATATATATATATTTATTTATTTTCATGTGCCTCTGCACCCCTATTTTCAGTCACCAGTAAAGGAAACAGGGGCTCTGCTGGTGGGTACGCAAAGTGATCTCTTAGAAAGGCAATTTGGAAATATTTACCTAAAATCTTACGACCCACAAAACCCACTCTTAAAAAAGTTATACTAAGGAAATATCAATGATGTAGTAGGAAGATTCATTAAAGTTTTATTTATAATAGAAAAAAATGAGTCTATGTTTTCAACAAGGGACTAATTAAACAAATTTTTGTTCATTTGTATTATGCAGTTTTTAAAATAATATATGATATAAAATTCATGACACTTTGTTAAGTGAAAAGCAGACTATAAATTAACATAAACACATATAAACACACATACACACATACAGATGACCAAAATTTTGAAAAGGTTTTTAAAATAATTGCATATAATATTAACAGAGGCTACACAGATAAATGGGGGCAATGTTGGAATTTGTTTCACTCTTCTTTGTATTTTCTGCATTTTTCCAGATCTTCTACAATGAGGAAAAGTATTTTTTCTGGGAATCTGCATTGAGTCACCTTTGCTATATCTTATTTTCACAATTTTTGCCCATTCTTTTTTGATCCCAAATAAACATTAGTACTAGCCCCAGTGGTGGCGCTGGAGCAGGGTAAGGGATGATGGCTAATTGTTTGAGTTTTTTTGGCAATACTTTCTAAATCAGAAGCTGTCCAATAAATTATGCTGTTGAAACACATGAGAAAAGTCATTTGCACTCTCTTACTTGGGGCTCAATAATTTAAATAGACCTAAGAAAAAAGACATTTACTAAGAAGTAAAGAAACATCTTTTTCCATTTATTGGAATAATTAAATAACCAACAGTAAAAATTTCAAAATATATATACAAATATTAACTTTAAAAATTTAAAATATAATGAAACTATAATATATATATATATATTATATATATATATAATTAAAAATAGATTAACTGAGCATCCTCAAAACTATATAAATATGGGATTATTTATGAAATTCTTTACAGATGTAACATCTATTCTTTGAATAAAGTCTGAAATTTGTTTATAATATTCAAAATAAGAGAGGAAGTAGTGAGTAATAGCTTGCCCAATTAACAATTGTCCAAGGAGAATGATTCTGTTATTTTTTGCTTGTCTTTTCTAATACCCATTCAATCACCTAGAGGGAGAAGAAAATATGGTTATGGTTCATTTCTATTAAAAATATAAGTAATAGAAAAAGATACTGTTAAAACTTCAAAAGACTATAGTAGAAATTTTAAAAGAAAAAGTAACATGTCACAGTCTCAAAACCTGTTTTATCTTAAAAACACGTTTTATTTTCTAACTGGAGAGCACGTTTTGCTTGACTTCCACTGCAGAGTATAATAACTTCCCACAGAAGCAAATGCAGATTCTGCTCTATTTTCTCACCTTTATTTTAAAATGTTTCAGCCCTAACTGGTGTTGCTCAGTGGTTAGGGCATAGGCCTACAACTGAAGGGTCCTGGGTTTGATTCCGGTCAAGGGCACATGCCTGGGTTGCGGGCTCGATCCCCAATAGGGGGTGAGCAGGAGGCAGCCAATCAATGATTCTCTCTCATCATTGATGTTTCTATCTCTCTCTCTCCCTCTCCCTTACTCTCTGACACCAATAAAAATATATGAAAAAAAAAGAGTGTAAAGAGGAAAAAGGTCCCTTTGCCATGAGAGACTTAAAAAAAAAGTTTCAAATGTTTTCAAAGGGTCACTAGAAAGAAATCAAACCAAACTTTTCAATCAATGAACCAAAATGGATGAATTTTTCCAGCTCTTTGGATGATTTATTTAAAAATTTTCCTTTCTTAGCATCATTATAGAAACTTGTTCACAGAGCAACCTGCTGGCCAACATCTATTACTAAGTATTTCAAAGAGTGTCCTTACTGTATAGACAACAGCATCAAAGCTACTTTCAAATACAACAGAAATTTGACTGAATGTAGTTTTGTGGGAATAAATGATTTACCTGTACAGCATTGTTGTTTGCGGTTTTCTTCATTTCTTCAAATAGACCCCTTGACGTTTTAAGATCCTAAACATAACAAAATACATACAGCATTTTACAACTTGCACATTAACTTACAGAGGACAGTCATTAGTAAATAACCTTGAGATTATCCTTTGTTTTGCCATCTCTTGTGTGAGAAGCATTCCTTTAAAATCTGCTAATCCTTGGCTACCCAGTCATCTTCAAAAAGAGATACTGAAAATCTTACTGGAAGCTCTGTCTTGTGTGTAGTTTATTCACTGGTGTCTTTACCCAGTAGGGGGCCAGTTGGCTTTTTTTAAAATGCAGCCTCTGACTCTTTTTTCTCCAGAGACTATTTCCTGCCCTGTCAGGGGTGGGGAAGAAAACTAGAAGGAACAGACCTTGTAGTTAGCACTGTGAGAGAGGGACACTGAGCAAGTTGAAGGTTCCCCAGCTCCCTTTGTAGAACTTGACTGAATTCCCCTGCTTTCCACGAGAGCTGGTGTTTTCGAGTCTGAGCAGGTCAGAGACGGTGGCAGCTGAATTGGTTTGTGTCTCACTGGTATTCTACTAAGCGGGCATTTAGGTCATAAATTCATTTGCTCATCTACACCACACTTCCATTTGCTTTGTTCAACAATCTACAGAAAAACATGTCTACATTTTTTCTTTCCTCTTTTCTTGGGTTTTTGTACTTGAATACTATCTATCTATCTTGAGAGATTTTAGGAAGAAGGTGAATTTAATACATGTGGTCAATATGCAGTTTTAAATATTTCTTGAAGCTTATTATCAACTAAATCAAAGGCTTATGAGAGAAATACTGAGGATACCAATTAAAATGTGGTTTTGTATATATGAGGACTAAAATCAAATAAATTGAAATATTTTAGCTCCATTTTTTCTACCTGCACTTTTAAAAGAATCTGGCAACAAGTTATAAGCAATTGGTATGAGAAATACTCACTAACCATTATTTCAAATAGGAACATGAGAACGTGACCTCCATTTTACCATTAGTAGAGGAGAGACCGTACCTTAAGGTAGAACTTCGAGATCTCAAAGAGACGCTGACTGCAGGCCGTGAAGCACTCGTGCGCCTCGGTGATACTGTGCTTCTTCAGGGTTTCAGTAACCACTTCTTTCAACATCTTCAATAGAACATAAGACACGACTAATATTTTGTGGAAAAGGTACAAACGTTACTTCAGCTTTGAAGCTAAATTCTATACAATACACAATCATGTAGCCATGCTAAAGGCAAAACTGAGAAGAAAAGAGATCTGAAATGTCTACAAAGTCACACATATCACAGGATACTATCTGTTAGCAAGAAGTGACTGGAATATCTTGAGAGGAATTAAAATCGTGGCTATTGAATTGAAATCTGAGTGTAGGAGCTATACACAGCAGTGTATTTATTTTTTTATTGGAAAATTTTAAACACTGAAAAATAGAGAGAAGATTTTATAACACATCTCTATCTCAATACATCTATCAACCACTATCAAGAAGGATCAATCTGTGGCTAATTTTGTTTCATTTACCAGCCACCCACTTTCCCATTACCCTTCTTGCACTGGATTATTTTAAAGTAAATTATAGATACCATTTCATTTCATTCATAAAAATTTTAGACATACATTTGAAATGAATCAAAGGAATTTCTTGCCATATAGAATTAAGAGAGAGAGGAAATAAACCGTTACCCGTGTATGTTTCTGTGACCTTGACTCCTTAGTTTGCCTCAGTGCCTTTGATTCATGCACACTTTTTTGACCTGAACTGGCCTTTGTGGTGACTCTTGGAGTTTTATAGCTATGAACAGGAACAGATGGACAAGTCATAGATAATGCTCTCTCAGGCTGTGGCTTTTTGGATGTCACTGCATGGTGGTGGTGATTTGTATTGCCACTCATCTGAGAAAGAAGAGAATCTGAACTTTCAGATTTCACAAGTCTATTGTGGGGAAAAATATCAAAAACATAGATTAAGTGAATCAACAATGAAGTCCATTTTCTGTCTTAAATGTTACAGCTATATCATTTGAAACATAAACCCAAGAAAAGCAAACAAAATTTCTTGCTACTACTGCCTTAAATAAGCAATCAACATCATATTATACAGTTGCTCCCTTAGTTCTTCAAATGAGTGACTAAAACACAGAATTTCAGCAATATTACTATTGCCCTCCCCATGAATTCACAATTTCTCACATAAATCAGCTAGGGAATGCCTGGTGGTGCTATTTATAGATTCAATACTTATTTGTTAAGTACTTATACTTTCTTATTAAATAACTAGAGGCCCGGTGCACAAAAATTTGTGCACTCGGGGGGAAGGGGAGCCCCTCAGCCTGGCCTGTGCCCTCTCGCAGTCTGGGACCCCTCGGGAGATAACGACCTGCTGGCTTAGGCCTGCTCCCGGGTGGCAGAGGGCAGGCCCAATCCCTAGGTGCAGCCCCTGGTCAGGCTCAGAGCAGGGCTGATTGGGGAGTTGGGGCGCCGCCCCCTGTCATGCACAGAGCAGGGCGGATCTGGAGGTTGCGATGCCACCCTCAGTCACGCTCAGGGTAGAGCCGATTGGGGGGTTGGGGCACTGCCCCCTGTCACACTCAAGGCAGGGTCTATGGGGAGGTTGCGGCGCCACCCCGTCAAGCACAAAGCAGGGCCAATCCGGGGGTTGGGGCGCTGCCCCCTGTCACGCACAGAGCAGGGCCCATCAGGGGGGTTGGGGCTCCTTACCCTGGCACGTACAGAGCAGGGTCGATCAGGGGGTTGGGGAGCTCTCCCCTGTCACGCACAGAGCAGGGCCAATCAGGGGGTTGGGGAGCTCCCCCCTGTCACGCACAGAGCAGGGCCCATCAGGGGGTTGAGGAGCTCCCCCCTGTCACTCACAGAGTAGGGCCGATAGGGGAGTTGGGCCGCCCCCTGTCACACACAGAGCAGGGCCTGTGGGGGGGGGTGGGTTGGGGCGCCGCACCTTGTCACACACAGAGCCGCAGGGCTATCAGGGGGTTGGGGAGCTCCCCCGTATCAGGCACAGAACAGGGCCGATCAGGAAGTTGGGGCGCCTTCCCCTATCAGGAACAGAGCAGGGCGGATAGGGAGGTTGTGGCCCCGCCCCCTGTCACACACAGAGCCGCAGGGCGATCAGGGGGTTTGGGCCCTGCCCCCTGTCACGCTGATCCCGGTGCCGGGAGGCCTTGCGGTTCCGCTGATCCCGGTGCTGGGAGGCCTCGCGGCTCCGCTGATCCCAGATCTGGGAGGCATATTACTCTTTTACTATATAGGATAGAGGCCTGGTGCATTAGTGGGGCTGGCTGCTTTGCCCTGAAGGGTGTCCTGGATCAGGGTGGGGGTCCCCACTGGGGTGCCCGGCCAGTCTGGGTGAGGGGCTGAGGACTGTTTTCAGGCCGACTGAAGCTCCCAACTGCTCCTTTCTTTCTTTTTTTTTATTCTGGGCCAGCTTTAGCTCTGGCTCCAGCTCTGAGGCTTCTGCTGCTGAAAGAAGGTATCTGGTTTGTTTCAGTTCTATAATCGAAACAATGTATAACTCCAGCTCTGAGATCCCAGGCTCACTGAAAGCAGGTTTCTGGGGTTTTATTTAGCTTCTATATTTGTTACAATGTTTCTTAAACTGCAAGCTTAGAGGCCGGCAAGGCAGGCGGGGAACGTTGGAATCCTCCATCACTGAAGCAAGCAAGCCTCATGTTAGTTTCAAGCTGCCTGGCTGCCAGGGCCATCTTGGCTGGCAGTTAATTTGCATATCGCCCTGAGTAGCCAATGGGAAGGGTAGCGGTCGTACGCTAATTACCATGTTTCTCTTTTATTAGATAGGATTTTGCCAAAGAAACCATAACCTATGGTTTGGTTTCTATGTACATATGCAACTATCTGTGCAAAATAAGTGTTAAAACAAATACAAATAAAACTGACTCTTGCTTTAACCTTTCTAAATGCTTCAATTTCCTTTTACAAGGCAGGGTCTCATAGTTTTCAATTCTGCTATCCGATAGGCCACAATATACTTTGTTTCTGGAACGCGTCAGAAATAAAACACTGTCACAAAATACGGTATCCTAAATGAACTTGCTTTTTAGCTTTGGCAGGTGTAAAAAGGACCATGAATTTTTAAAGTCCTCATGAAAATAATTTAGTTATTTTATATCAGAGAAATAGTGTTCTAACATTATTATTGTTCAAAAAGAAGATTTGAATGTTTCACTTTTACATTATTTCATACTTTTTGAAAGATTTAAAAACAATAATTTAAGACTTGCTTTAGATGCCAAAGACCTAACGTTGACAAAGATTCTGAAGATAAATTCAAGTATTTGACTATTTTATTCAGCTAGCAAAAAAAGTATCCGGAAAAGTTTTACATAATGCATTATTATATTATGTAGGCTTTAAATCTTTATTTATATGAAGCAACTGGTATTTATATATTTGAGAGAGGGAGATGGAAACATCCATTTGCTGTTTCACTTATTTATGCATTCATTAGTTGATTCTTCTATGTGCCCTGATCCAGGCTCAAACCCGAAACGTTGGTATATCGGTACACCATTCTTACCAACTGAGCTACCTGGCCAGGGCCTCAAACAGGTGGTTTTAAAATGGTGTTGCCTGAAAGGAGACATATGTACTACTTTATGTAATATGTAATATGTAATACTAAGACATATGTAATACTTTAAACAATAAAATAACATTAAAAATAATAATAAAAAAAAAATAAAATGGTATTGCCTGGAACCGCCCTTTAAGAAGCCAATGTAAACAGGAGCTGTGAGGGAGCGGGAATGAAGAGCTAAGAGAACTGCCATCCCCAACACCCTCTTCCACAGAGCAGCGCAGCTGCTTAATCTATTGCATAAGATCTCCAGTGTTCCGTGGCTGGAAAACTTCACAATCCATTGTGTTAATGGATTGTATATTAGCATATAAAGCAAGCAAAAGGGTGTTTTTTCCAAGTCATTTGTTTTTATAACTTATAAGCAAATCATCAATTGCTCACAATAAAAACAAAATCCCTGGTATGAAAGAATTAATCTAAAACCTATGCAGAAAACAACTTAAAAATATGAAAGATTACTATGGGGGGAAATCACCTAAGGACTAACATACTTTCTGTCCAGATACTATTTGTGTGTACTTAAGAGCACCTTCTTTTGGGACCCAGGCAGTTCAGGTCTCTCGATCTCCTTTTCAACCGGGATGCTTCAGTCCGGAGTTCACTCTGTAAAGCTTCTCCGTCAGGGACACTTCCAGGCTCGGATAGAACCGCAGGAGATGGGAGAGGGCTCAGCACAGTGGGCACTAGAAAACTCTCTCTGGTGCAAGTAGTTTGAGTTTCATAACGAATAAGACGAGACTGAAGTTCAGAAAATCCCCCATCTCTTTCTAAAGATTTTCGATCGTCCAAGCAATATCTAAACAAGAGGAAGATCATGAGAAACAAAGCCCTCACAACAGCAATTAGAAAACACTTACTTAAAAAGTTCTTATTTCACTTCCTAATAACGTTTAGAAGGTTGAGCGAATGGCTGACTTCCTTCACAAGTTTTTCTCGCCTGCTAGATGACATGGCAAGAGATTTAAAAATCTGAAGTACCATCTGATTCCTCTTTGACTGTTTCTGGGCAATAGGTTAAGTTAATCCCCTGGCTTATTTCAAAACAATACAGTGGATGTTTCAATACCTTTTAAATCTCTACCAACCTATAATTTCTCAGCATGGCTGATATGTAGCAACAGGAAATGCTGACTTCTGTTAGGAAGGGCAAGTTTATTTTCATCACAAAGATTAAAAGCGTATAAAGGCACTCTAAACTGGCTCACCAAATAGTTGAGAACAGTTTGAATTTTTCCTTTGAAACTCACTTCCCACCTTATTGATGGATCGACAGATTTTCCTTCAAACTATGTGGCCGTCTCTGTACATGTGGCTTCTCCTAAACCTGACTCAGGGAAGCAGTGAGATGACAGCTCTGGGAATCTCCGGGCTTGAGGAAATCCCATGTTAAGTACAACAAATAAGCACATCAGGAACATCAGCTATGAGTGTGTGACCTTGGAGAGAGCTTCACTTTCCGCCATGCCACAGCTGCATGGAGGAAAAACATGTCGTTTCACATACTGATGGTAGGGCTACAGAAACCAACACCTTTCTCCCTTACCCATCCTCTTTGCTTGTAAAATTCTAAGATGCTTCCTACTAGTAAAATCAGATTTTGTGTCCATAAGCTTTTAGTTCAACTCCCAAGAAATGTCTCGCTACCCGAACCTCTGATGGAGGTTTTAGGGACTTACTCTCTCCCTAGGGACATTTTCATATTGGATTTCTAAGAGTATAGACTAGGGAGCCAGACTCACTGGATTTAAATCTGGCTCCCCAACTGATTAGCTGTGTGAACTTGACCAAATAATTTAACTTTATCTAGGCTTCTTGTTGCCGCGTCTGCAAAATGAGATTTATAGCAGTCATCTCAAAGAGCTGTTGTGATGATTCTTTGAATGGGTACAAGTAAGCACTTTGAATCAGTGCCTGGAACATGCAAGCACAGCAGTCAATAGATGTATGCTGCTGCTGTCATTATTATTATTACTCTCATTGCTATTATTATTATGTCATCATCATTATTGGGTTTATTTTCTACCACAGCATATGCTAATAATACTCAGAACAGCCAGGATTTAAAACCAGGTGATGACTTCCAAGTGTGACTTAAACCACTGCAGTATACTATCTCTTGTGTAAAGTGTAAAGATCATTTTCCTCAGAGGTCCACCCCTGCCTAAACCTTAGAACAACCTGAAGAATTTTCAGAAAAACTAACTCCTCTTCTTCATGCCTAGAGTTCCTGATTTAATCCGTCTGGGGAGAGACCCAACCATGGACATTTTTTTAAAAAGCTGTCTAGTGGAGCCCTGACAGTGTGGTTGAGTGTTGACCTATATGAACCAGGAGGTCACAGTTCGATTCCCAGTTAGGGCACATGCCTGGGTTTTGGGCTCGATCCCCCGTAGGGAGCGTGCAAGAGGCAGCCAATCAATGATTCTCTCCCATCATTGATGTTTCCATCACACTCTCCCTCTCCCTTCCTCTCTCTGAAATCAATAAAAATGTATTTTTTAAAAATACAATAAAAACAGTCGAGGGGATTCTAAAGAAGCTCCCACTTAAATACGACTAAGGTAAATTTAGTTCAAACAAAAAGTCCAATCTGTAATCACTGCACAAAAGGATTCCAGCTAAAAACATGAATACTTTAAATAAAAGGTTTAGCTAAATTCAAGTTTATTTGAAAAACATACCTGACTTTTTGATGTTAGAGGAAAAATATAACCTCTCAAATAAGAAATTCTTTCCCCAAATATCAGAAATGAAAAGCCTGAACAAATCTTTTCATGATTTAGTAGTTATCTCTGAGTTGCCTGTTGTTAACAATTCCAAACTATTTAGATTTAAATTAGCATTTTATATAGGACTTCTTTCAGAAATGATATATTATTGGATGTTGTAGCTCTGATTGCTCATTCTAAAGTCCTCAAATCCAATGTCTTCCACACTCAGAAGTTTTTGTCTTAGTTTCATGTTGCATGTTCAATTATGTTGTTCCTTGTATTTCTGAGTAGTATGACTCTGAGTACATATACCAGTTTATCAATCCCTACTCCTATTGTACACCTAGGCTGTTTCCAGATAGGGTTATTATGAACAACACTGTTCTGTACATTCTTGTACAAATCCTTTTGCAAAGTTACGTTTACAGTTCTTAGGCAAATACCGCATAATGGAATTTCTGTGTCACAGGATCTGAGTATTCAAGTTTTATAAGAATCTGCCAGATCTTACATCTTCTGAAGTAGATATATCATTTTATACTCCCACCAACTATGTGCAAGAGTGCTGATTGTGCCACATAGATAGCCAATATCTATCAGTCTTTTCAATTTTAGCAATTCTGGTGATGACACGGAATTTTATTTTATGGACGTCCTACATTTTACATAACAAAGCCCCTAAAGCAGCGGTTCTCAACCTGTGGGTCGCGACCCCTTTGGCGGTCAAAGGACCCCTTCACAGGGATCACCCCTTCACAGGGATCACCTAAGACCATCCTGCATATCAGATATTTACATTACGATTCATAACAGTAGCAACATTACAGTTATGAAGTAGCAACGAAAATAATTTTATGGTTGGGTCACAACATAAGGAACTGTATTCAAAGGGCCAGAAGGTTGAGAACCACTGCCCTAAAGTTAGACATTATTTCTAATATCTCTTATTTTAAATAACAATGTGAATAATACCTTTGCATAACTTTCAGTGTAAATCACTAATTTTTTCATTAAGCTAAATTAAGCAAACAGATGTTATCAACATCTGCAAAATTTTCTATTCTACATTTCTTGCTAAGATCATTTCTGATATTTATGTTTGACTTGCCATGTTGAAGGGGTTCTTTTTCACTGTGTGCAAAATTGGAAATAGCTGGTTAGAGAAAAACTATGCATTTTATATATTTTGCAAATTCTTCCACTACTTCTAATAGTCTTTCAAATCTCTACTCAACAAAAAACAAATAAACAAAACTTTTGATCTCCTTTTCTTTTTTTCTTTTTTTTAATATATATTTCATTGATTTCTCACAGAGAGGAAGGGAGAGAGATAGAGAGTCAGAAACATCGATAAGAGAGAAATATCGATCAGCTGCCCTCTGCACATCTCCCACTGGGGATGTGCCCGCAACCCAGGCACATGCCCCTGACCGGAATCGAACCTGGGACCCTCCAGTCCGCAGGCCGACGCTCTATCCACTGAGCCAAACCGGTTTCGGCTTGATCTCCTTTTCAATACAAAAACTCTTTCAAACTTTTTAGTTTTCTTCATTTTAATTCACTGGCTAGAACATACAGGAAAATTATTATTTTTTTTAAAGTGATGGCTGCAGATATCTTTTCTTGCACCTGACTTTAATGGGAGTTTTATTTTGATGCTCAAAAATAAACTAACTGAAGATTTTGCCTCTAGTGTCAAACATAAATATTCCTTCTATAAAATAATCTTCTTTAAATGTATCAAGGAACCAAAACATCCTAGAATGACTTACTGGATGGCGACCATCTGTATTTTCTCAGATTGCACTACTATCTACCCAATGTGCTTAAGCTAGAACATTAAAGAAATTCATATCTCCTGCTTTCTCATCCCCAACATCTAATTGGTTTCTCAAGTTCTTTACATAGCTCTTAAGTTTATATTTTCCTCCCTGTTTTCCCTGTCTTGATAGTATTTTAGTCTTCCAACATCTCTTACTTAAAATACTTCAAAGGACAGTTTATCAAAGGACAATGAGATTGCTTTCAATGAAACAAACCTAAGCATCTAATTTCATGCTTTAAAAATAAAAGCTTCCTATTGCCTCAAAAATAAAGATCACTTTCCCTTCCATATCAACAATGGTTTTCAATGACTTCATGATATGGCCTCATTATTATACAATATACTTATTACTTTTACTAAAAAATGAAACTGTGCCCTGCTGGCGTAGTTCAATGGTGGAGTGTCAACCTATGGATCAGGGGGGTCACGGTTCGATTCCCGATCAGGGCACATGCCTGGGGTGCAGGCTCGATCCTCAATATGGGGCATGCAGGAGGCAGCCAATCAGTGATTCTCTCTCATCACTGATGTTTCTATCTATCTCAACCTCTCCCTTCCTCTCTGAAACTAATAAAAATAAAAAAATAAAGAAAAAAACCCCGGAATTGCAATTTCCTCTTCCTAGAATTGTACCTCTGTACTTCATTCATCCCCCAGATATTCCCTTTTTGTCAGGTAAACTCCTAATCATTCTTTCAAACTTAGTTCAGACTTCTCTTTGAAATTCTCTCAAATAGTTCCTAGCGTTAATTTGTTGCATCCTCTGGGCCATTATCTATCTGTATTTCAACACTGTACTTACATCATGTGTTTCAAGTCCGCAAGCCAATCAAAAGAGTATATTTCTGCTGTTCACTGATAAACTTAAAAGTTGCTTCTCAAAGATTAAGGTAAAATCAAGTCCTTTTCTATTTCAATTTATGAAAAATCAGTGTAAAATAATGTCTTGCTTTAAGAATGTGAAGTATTTTCCAAAATGAATCTCTAATCTTGAAAATTTATTGTAAAACATATTAATGATCACCATCTTGTCCTTGTGAAAATGGTAGGTGTGCACATGCCCTTGGAAACTGCTAATACCTTTAAGCAAGAGAACCCTTTGCAATTTTATTCAAACTGGTCAATTAAAATTCTACAAAAGTGCACACAATATGAACATGTTACAAACAGGAACACATTTCACCTAATAGTGCCTGAGCAATTACAGTGTAATTAGTGACCAGGGAATATTAATGGGACCAGAAGTAGTGTAAATACATTCATACACAGACACCAAAATAATTCTGATTAAAATATCTAGTAACTAATAGTAAGATGTTTAAATGCTATAAATCTGATTAATTATCCAGTAACCTTACTTTTTACAATAGAAGACAAATTATTTGTGTACGTTCTACTTTGTTTTTCGGCGTATTTTCTCTTTGGCTCTGTATCTCAATTTATATCATTTTATTATATTCACTCTCAAAACACAAATAGTATAAGCTACATCAACAACATGCAGAAGAGTTAGGGGAAAAAAAAAACTTACTCAATTCCATGATAATGACACACTGAGGCTTTTTCAAAAGGTAAAACTTGAAGTTTCCGAGGACTGAGTTCTGGGGTCAGAACAAAAGTCTTTTCCCTGAAATAAAAATTGTAAATGTATATTTAAAGTTTACTTAGTGACAAAGAAAACTCTAGAAAATGTCTAAATAAAGAAATCTGACTTCCTTCATTTCAAATGAATTTTACATAGGGTAAAAATTAAGATATCACAAAGGGTAATAAGAAAATGAAGCAGGGATAAGCCTGTGGATTTTGTCTCTTACATTTTCTGTGTCTCAAGTTTCCGAAATTGTAATGTCACTTATTTCACAAAACTATTCTGAAACATGACTAAATCAAGATTGGAAAATGATCTGTAGTGGAAATTCAAGAAGAAGCATTATTCTGGGATTTTTTTTTTTCTCTTGATCGAGTGGACTAATGTCTATGCATTTAGTTAAATTCTTTTTTTGCAGAGGAATAATTAAAGTCAACTCAAATATCTGGTAACAAAGGTTGTATTTACTTCCTACTATAACACATGGACCTAGATTTTTCCTTACAGGGAATGTAGTCATCTTGACATGGACTTTAAGAGTCAGCAAGCTATTAAATATTACAGATTATTATAGACTGATTTCAGTTCTTCTGAGGTAGATTTTTCAATCAGCAGGTATGTTAAAACGAATCATATGGTGAGCCCTAGCCAGTTTTGCTCAGGGGACAGAGCATTGGCCTGAAGACTGAAAGGTCCTGGGTTCGATTCCGGTCAAGGGCATGTACCTTGGTTGCAGGCTCCTCCCAGGCCCAGGTCCTGGTCGGGGCTTGTACAGGAGGTAACCAATAGATGGGTTTCTCCCACACTAATGTTTCTCTCTATCTTTCCCTCTCTCTTCCACTCTCCCTAAAAAAGCAATGGAAAAATATCCTCGGGTGAAGATTAACAAAAAAAACAAAACTAATCATATGGTGAGCTTACATAAAGTATCCAGGCTTAGCCCTTCCCATACCTAGGAGACATCAACATCTTGGGAGGAAGGTCACTGCAATTAGGTTAAGCTCTCCTGGTTATTCTAATGGGTGGCTGTCTCCTCTGCCTAAGTTGGAGGCACAGGTCTAAGATACTGGATCATGTTCCTGAAGCTCAGATGGGTGGAGTAGGGAAGGGAGAATTACGCATCAGTGGTCTTTACATAACAATGAAATGCCAGGGGCTTGAATGCAGTTTTGGAAATGGTAAATAGAAAGGCAAGTAGATAGAATACAAACAATAAATCTCCTACCACATATTCCCCTCTATGGCATTATTAATTAGTAAATGTGGCACCACCCATTTGTTACTGAAAATCATCTAGGGTACTATGATAAGCATTTGTAATTATTACGTTAAAATGTAAGACATATGCTCCATAATAAATTCTAAAAACCAGAATTTATATTCTAATGCATCTACTTAAAGTGTTCACAAAAAGTAACACTAATAAATTGCAATGACCCCAGTATTTTGACTAGTGACTATAAAAGCGAACATTTTGTAAGACAAAACTCTTTAGGTACCTGCCATTTATTTCACTTCTTTCCTTTACTATGTTGTATCCATTTCTTATTTCAAGCACTCAGCAACTTTATCTATTTTTGCTTAATTTTACTCACACCTTGTTCTTTCTAAAAGAAACATTTTAATAAGTATGTATTTTGTCAATATTTAACATTTCTTTGGAATATTCATAGGGGTTATGCCTGAACTTTAATTTACTATAGCATTTTGAATGGCTCCTTGGATAGGTAAGCATTTAAGAAGAGTCTACAAGTTCTTGATTCACTGCCATGAAAACTTGCCCTTAATAGAAAACATATTTGATAATGATGCAGTTCTTTACTAACATCAAGGAACTATATCAAACTTCCCTAAAGAAATTACTTGTGAACTACAGAAATAATTAAATATATCTCCACTACTACACTGAATTCAGAAAGACCTGTGGCCACAAGAGTAAAGACCTCCATAATTCAGTTTGGGCAGACCCACCTAACTCTGCCAGTTCATGCTTCATGATTTAATAAAATACTAATCTAAAACTAAATAGAAGAAAATGTTATATACTTTTTGACTTTCTTGATCCCCACAAAAACGGGTATCAATCTCTCAAAGGTAGGAGGAAAAGAAAATTACTCTAAAATTACACAATTTTTGTCATTAAAATCATTAAGTCATTAAGACCCAGAGTCAATGCTCAAGTTTTCAAAGTCGCTCCCTCTCTCTGTAGTGAACATGCACATGAAGGCAAAAGTTCTATCATTATTTCTGAAATATAACTACTTTCAAATAGAGCCTTTCCAAAATTTACCTTTAAAATCAGTATTTGTCAAAATAACCTTTGTTAAAGTGACTGAAATGATCTATAATTTTTAGTGTCCTTTGGAAGGGTTTTCAAAATAATGGATTAACAAAAAGAAATTGGGTTTGTGAACAAATTATTCAAATCTCACAAGTATTTGATGTCATGATTTTAGCTGCAGTTAGTCAACAACAGCAACACCTAGTTTTTATTAACTAGTAACTTAGTAGAAGTTATCTTGGAAGTCAAATTAGTTATAAATTATTCATGGAGACACTGAATTCTTACTTAGTAATGTTATAGTTTCAAAAGAATTTTTATTCCATTTTCCTATTTCTTCAGTTGAAAGATGTGTTTTTTGCTACTATTAGGAATGACTGACAATGTCATGACAAGTACACAGCAGCAAAATAAAACCTAGACAGTAATACAGAAATGAGAATTAAAAATATGTATTTGCAAGTCAAATTATAATTTTTTCTTAAAAAGAACCATCCTTCGTATACAAAGAACCTCAGCATATTCCCTACTAATTTTCATAGGGAATATGCTGAGGTTGCTTTTATTCTTTGTTTCCCTTACATTCAATACCACAAAACACTGGGACATTTGGTAAAATGTGAGGATTATGGCCAACTGATAAACACTGAGATCAAATTGAGAATTCTGCCTAAGTGGCACAGGACACCAGTAAACGGGAAATGAGATGCCATGTGTTTTTTCAATGACTTTTAAAAAATTAATTGGAAATTATAAGTTTATAACTTACCCCCTTTGAATGTGTAAAGGCTGAAGATCTCCAACTGGTAATCCTTCTGAGGTAAAGAATTTCAGCAATTCTTTAGCATCCAATAATGTGGTCGAATCCCGTGCACACTCCTTGTGGCCCAGCAACTGTTCAGATGAATGAGGAAATGAACCAGCTCTAGGAAAATAATGTTATGTAGATTTATTAAAAGTGGATTAGAATTCCTCATAATTAGGAAAAGATGACATGAGCAGAAACCAGAAAAATACACAAAGAAAATTGAAGAATTACACATTTAGGAAGAAAATAAAGTAAAATCTTTGCAAATCATTTAATATCAAAGTATATTTTTAAAAACCTCTAGATCACAGTTACCATATCAATAAAGGTTACTAAACTAAATATATTCTTACTAGAGGCCTGGTGCACAAAAATTTGTGGACTGGGGGGGGGGGGAGGGGGCCCCCAGCCTGGCCTGTGCCCTCTTGCAGTCTGGGACCCCTCGGGGGATGTCCACCTGCTGGCTTAGGCCCACTCCCCGGGGGATCGGACCTAAGTTGGCAGTCAGACATCCCTCTGGCAGCCCAGAAGCCCTCGGGGGATGTCCACTTGCCAGTGAGGAGCAAGGCCTAAGCTGCAGTCGGACATCCTTAGTGCTGCTGAGGCGGGAGAGGCTCCCGCCACCACCGCTGTGCTGGCAGCCATCAGCCTGGCTTGTGGCTGAGCAGAGCCCCCCCTGTGGCAGTGCATTGAGCATCTGCCCCCTGGTGATCAGTGTGTGTCATAGTGACCAGTCATTCCCAGTCGTTCTCATGTTAGGGTCAATTTGCATATTATCCTTTTATTATATAGGATAAACTAGAGGCCCAGTGCACAACTTTGTGCACAGGTGGAGTTCATCAGCCTGGCTGGCAATCAGGGCCGATGGGTGCCATGGGAGGTTGGCCAGCAGGGGTGAGGGGCCACAGGAGGTTGGCCGACTCGGGGGAGGGGCCAAGGGAGGTTGGCTTTGAGAGCGCACTGACCTCCAAGGGACAGCTCCTGCGTTAAGCATCTGGCCCCTGGTGGTCAGTGTGCATCATAGCGACCAGTTGTTAGGTCGCTTAGGCTTCTATATACTAATATATAGATGATGGCATGATTATTTAGTAGCATGAAGTTATCAAATTCATAAAATTTATATCAAAAATCTCTTGTATATTCTGAAACTCAACAATATTGTAAATTTTAAAGGTAGAGACAGAATGTTCCAATTTTCTAAGAACTTAAAAGATTACTTGAAGCACAACCATGAAATTAGGCAGTACTCAGAAATCTCTCCCAGGTCCCTTTGGGCCACGATTATGCCACTATGACTAAGCACTGAATCATTATTATACCTGACATATATGCAGGACTGTATATTCTTCAAACTATTTTACATACAATAGTCTTAACCCTACCAGACTGCTGTACCGATTTTTTGGTAATTTCCACACAAAGGTGGAATATTGGCGCTAGATGAAAGGTAGATGAAAGGTAGACCTATTTTCTACAATGTCTCCAAGTTCCATCTTATTCTAACCACTTGTTTGCATGTAACTAACATTTTTCTATATCATGCTGGTTTTTTCTCTTTAATGCTCAGGAGCCCAGGTATAGGGGACAGTTAGGTTCAGGGCCTCAGGTCTGGTAGGATTAATCCTCACAAATTTCCTTGAAAAAGACAGGATAGGTCTTAATTCAAAATCAAGTTAGCACCTGAAAATAAGTACTTTGTAAAGTGAAAATCAGCAAACCAAACCTAAAAAAAAAAATCATATTCCTATTTTTCAGATGAAGACACTAACGCACATAGTTTGCATTACAGAGCCAGGGTGACACAGCTATTTGAAATGACAGTCAGAAGCAGACTGACTCTGAATTGGGTACGATTTCTACTCCATCACTCTATAAACCCGAAAAGCTCTTAAAAAGTTTTAGAAACTGGAAAGAGAAAAACACTTCAGTTTCAGAGCATTTTAAAGGTTATAGCAAGTACTGAGTCATAGATTATGCTATGGCCTGTCACCAAAGCATAAATAAAACCTTTACTGGCACAGAAAACTATTTCCTGACTTCATATCAATTCAACTCTTTCCTGGTTATTTTACTACTCAAATCAAGCATTTTTACTGATAATTATGATAAAATGATGACATTATGGGTTAGGACTGACATTTCTATACATTAACGACCCATAATGTACCGACGGTGCCCCTTTCCCCTGCCCATTCCCTTTATTTTTAAATTGAAAATATAAATCTAATAAAAACAGACAAGAGAATTCTCAAATATGTTCTATGAACTTTATATTCCAGGAGGGCAAGAACTGCATTATGAGCTTAATTTAATTTCTATATAGCTATTCTCTAATAGTAACTCACAAAGGGTTCTTAATGAAAATTACTCTCAATCATTTTACAGGCTGGATGGAATGGGGAAATGTATAATTTGCATTTATATAGAGTCCTGGACACAAGGATATCAAAGCAATTTAAAAGCCCGTTTGTGATAAATTACGTTACCAAATATGTCTTGGATTAAAAAAAAAAAAAACACAAAGAAACAAACACCAAAACAGTGACAGCACTTTATCTTGTTCAGTGTTTTCAAGCTTGCAAAGTATTTTTTCATACATATTCTCATTAAATTTTCACAACTTTGAAGGAGAACTCATGTTGTCATCCCCATCTTAAAGATGAAGCCACAGGCCCTAGTCAGTTTGGCTCAGTGGATAGAGCATAGGCCTGTGGACTGAAGGGTCCCAGGTTTGATTCTGGCCAAGGGCACATGCCTGGGTTGTGGGCTCGATTCCCAGTAGGGGGCTTGCAGGAAGCAGCCGATCAATGATGTTTCTATCTCTCTCTTCCTCATCATTCATGTTTCTATCTCTCTCTTCCTCTCCCTTTCTCTCTGAAATCAATAAAAATATGTATTTAAAAAAAAAAAAGATGAAGCCACAAATTCACAAACAGGTGACTGAGTTTGTCTAAAACCAAGTTCTTACGACTTCTGAATATCACTACATATTGGTTCTCCAGTTTAACCTATTTTAACACAAAACAAATTCTGGAAATATGCAACATAATTTTTGTCCACAACCAAGAATTTAATGGTATCTCCCATATTTTGAAGTACTCACAAGTATTTATTGAGTATTTTACTTTGTAGATCTCATTGTGAGGTAGTAAAAAGAGTTCACTGATGATAATTTATAGACTCATAATCACGGCTCGTGATTTAGTGCATAGATTGACTTGAGGCAGGAGAAAGGAGGTGAGGAGTGAAAGGAGATGAACATATAGATGTATAATGAGGTAGAAAAGGTACAATAAAATAAGTCTCACGAATAACACAGTCCTGAGATGCTTAAAAAAGAAAGATAACAATGAGTTGCAGCATCAAAAAAAAAAAAAAAAAGGCTTAAGAAGAAAGGTGATATTTGATCTAGACCTTGAATGACAAATAAGCTCCTAGTCCAAGATGGTGGATTAAACATATACATTAGGAAAAAACTAAGATGGCGGCATAGGTAAACACCGGAAAATTGTCGCCTCACACAACAATTGAAAATTACCGCAAAGGACTGAGCAAATATCATCCAGAACAACAGGAAGGCTGGCTGAGTGTAAATTCTACAACTAGAAGGAAAGAAAAGCACGCTGAGAGCCAGAGGCGCTGCGGAGGTGAAGTGCAGAGGTACGGCAGCTCGCGCGCGAGGAAAGGGGGTGGCGCCTGAGGACGCGGCTGTCTTTTTGAATCACAAGCTCCTGACTGCTCTGAACTCCGGTTCCGGGAAGTCTCTGGGGACCCAGGACTCATACGGGGAGAGGCTGGTCTGTCCGGCAGCAGGCGAACTTGAGGGCGGCTTTCCCTCAGAGGTGCTTGCAGCCGTTACCGGGACACTGAGACGCGCGACTCCGGGCGGAGAATCGGCCATAGCTGCTTTCTCCGCCCTTTGACTCCCTGAGACCCCGCCCCACCCAGGCTGCGGCAGAGGCTTTTGCATGTGAATGTACCTAACTGCAGCCGAACCAGGCAGACCCGGAACTTCCAAGAGAAGGCCCAAGGCCCCGCAGCGGCTTGCATTGCTTCACAGCTGAGCCTCTTCATGGCTCCTGCTGTGTGGCCTCAGGCAGAGGCTGAATTAGCACCTCCTTAGATCCAGGAGCCACTGTACCCAGTGGTCAGAGGGGGACCACCCAGATTGCAACTCCTCAGATCCATAAGGGACACACTCAGGGAGCAGACTCAGTGAGCACCAAAGCCCCACTGAAGCAAGTCTTGCCCCAGAAGGGTGTCTTCAGCACAGAAGTTCTCCCACTTTAGACACAGCTGATTCTCACAGCCAATTGGCCTGGAGGTCAATTCCTCCCAGTGATTCTACAACAACCAAGGCACCAAGAGTGCACCAAGAGTGTCCACCCCAGGTAACTGGGGAGGCTGAGCTACTGGGCCCTACAGGACACCTGGCGCACAGGGCCACTCTATCAACACAGGGAAGCTGCCAAAATGCGGAGACAAAGAAACAGGTCACAAATGGCAGAAATGGAGGAAAGCAAACGATTGGATATAGAGTTCAAGGCCACGTTTATAAGGTTTTTCAAGAATTTTATGGAAACCGCCGATAAATTTAATGAATCCCTCAATAAGTATAGTGAGACCATGGAGGACATGAAAAAGGACCAACTAGAAATTAAGCATACACTGACTGAAATAAAGAATAATTTACAGAGATCCAGCAGCAGACAAGAGGATCCCAAGAATCAAGTCAAAGATTTGAAATACAAAGAAACAAAAAATACCCAACCGAAAAAGAAAAAAGAAAAGAGATTCCAAAAATATGAAGATAGTGTAAGGAACCTCTGGGACAACTTCAAGCGTACCAACATCAGAATTATAGGGGTACCAGAAGGAGAGAGAGGGCAAGATATTGAAAACCTTTTTGAAGAAATAATGACAGAAAACTTCCCCTACCTGGTGAAAGAAATGGACTTACAAGTCCAGGAAGCGCAGAGAACCCCAAACAAAAGGAATCCAAGGAGGACCACACCAAGACACATCATAATTAAAATGCCAAGAAAAAAGATAAAGAGAGAATCTTAAAAGCAGCAAGAGAAAGACAGTCAGTTACCTACAAGGGAGTACCCATATGACTGTCAGCTGATTTCTCAACAGAAACCATGCAGGCCAGAAGAGACTGGCAAGAAATATTCAAAGTAATGAATAGCAAGAACCTGCAACCAAGATTACTTTATCCAGCAAAGCTATCATTCAGAATAGAAGGTCAGATAAAGAGCTTCACGGATAAGAAAAAGCTAAAGGAGTTCATCACCACCAAACCAGCATTATATGAAATGCTGAAAGGTATTCTTTAAGAAGAGGAAGAAGAAAAAGGAACTCTTACCATTTGCCACAGCATGGATGGAACTGGAGAGCGGATAAATACCACATGATCTCACTCATTTGTGGAATATAATGAACAACATAAGCTGATGAACAAGGACTGATCCAGAGACGGAGAGGCATTGATTGGACTGTCGGGACTTGGAGGGAAGGTAGGGGAGGGTGGGGGTAAGGGGGAAAGATCAACCAAAGGACTTATATGCAAGCATATAGGCCTAATCAATGGACATGGACAACGGGGGGGTGAGGGCATGAGCGGGGGGGGGGTGGGGGGGTAGAGGGTAACGTGGGGACAAGGACACATATGTAATATCTTAATCAATAAAAAATATATTAAAAAAAAAAAAAAACATATACATTAATCTCTCCACTCCACAAAGTGAAATCAAGATGTTGAAGTACTGGACACTAAAAGTCATAATAGGGTTAAAAAAAAAGAAAAAAAAAATGTTGGACCAAAGAGTTCAATGAATTTCAAAAATTTAGAAACTAGAACAAGAGCCTCAAGGAGAACTAGAGATAAAACTAGAAAACAAGTAGAATCTATCTTCTTCGTCCTGTCCTACAAAGCCACAGCAATTCTAAATGTGGGTTCACAGTGTGGCAGTGGGCAAAAATCAGATGACATATTCTAAGAATCCTACTAGAAGAGTTGTTTAAGTACCACCCTCCCACACCATACCTCGCCCCTATACTTTTTACCTCCAAATTAAAGATAAAGAAACTGCTCTCTGAAGACCCACAACTAGGTGCCTGCCCCAGTGTCAGCAGTGACATTCCCAGAATAAATCCCCCTCAGTATAAAGACCAAGTGAAGCTTGTCAGGCAATCTCCAACCTGCATCTCCCGTCTCCCAAATATTAAACCAGGTGACAGGAGGTTGGGAACAAGACTACACAAATATAGGGGAAGTACAACCCAACTACCTATACAGAGCAGCCAAGTACTAAATTCTTCGCTGTGAACAAATGCAAACCACCAGACACAGGAGAAAAACTACACATAAAAGACAAACACCAATGGAATAAAAAAATCAGAACCAAAGAATATTCCCGATGAACACACGGCAGAGAGATTCGGCTGTGGAAAATTCCACACACAGGAATGGTCAAACAACTGTCTTCCTTTCTTCCTTCTTTTCTCATAAAAGGAAGAAGACGAAGGCCTCTGGTGGAGATGAGAGTTCTGGAGAAACCACTTTGGCTGAGACTGTCACAAGAATGGCTCTTAAGCTGAAGTGCTCAGAGGCAGGACTGCACAAAATTACAGGGCTTGTTAGGGGTGGGGGTGGGGGGGGGCCTGCAAATTGGCCTGAATGTGACTCAGAATGCAAGGTGAGATCTAAAGAAGCATCTAATTAGTCTAGGAAGGAGTCGAGTTGAGATCAAATTATAATAATACTAAGTGAAACCATTTGACTTTGCCATTTCTGTAGGTTAAAAAAAAATGGTCAGATATCAGCCATTGCCCATGATTTGGCAGAATGCTCAGGGTTGGAGATCAACTTGGCCAGGTAGACCGAGCTGTACTGCTTTACAAAGACTGCTCTGCATGGCTACTTCTGTTACTACTTAATGCTTGCGGTGTTCAAGAATATTAACAATTGATTTTTATTTCAGAAAAAAATAAAACATGAAAGAAAAGCTTTATTAATCATAGGCAAAATTCTCCTCTAATTAAAGAGGGGAAATTCTTTCAAAGGAGATATGGGGAAAATCAAAATCCTGGTTAAAGCTGGAGGTATCCATGCTTAGAGTTAGAAACTGGGGGGAAACATTCTACTCGCTACCAAATGCAGTGAGGGGCTCACCTGGGCCCCAGCACCTTCCTCTCTCACCTGGGAGCCCAGAGGAAAAACAGAAAGCACTCTTCCCTGCAAAGGCCTAGATCGCTCTGCCATTCCTCTGCTTCCTGCAGCAGGAGCCCCTCGCCCACCTGACCCACTGCATGCCAGCACCCAGCATGGCAGCCTGAGGGCATGTCAGGCACAGACACACGCAATGATGACTCCGATAACAGGGCCCGCCCTCCTATCCTCCCTCCCTCTCTCAAATCAATAAAAATATATCCTCAGGTGAGGATAAAAACAACAACAACAACAACAAAAAACTAGTATCTCATAAACACAGTGTGAGACGTAAGAAAGTTCACTTAAAAATATTGAGCTGTTGCCCTGGCTGGTGTGCTCAGCAGTTAGAGCAGGGGTGGCCAAACTTTTTGACTCGAGGGCCACAATGGGTTCTTAAACTGGACCGGAGGGCCGGAAGAAAAGCATGGAGTGTTTGTGTGAACTAATATAAATTCAAAGTAAACATCATTACATAAAAGGGTACGGTCTTTTTTTTTTTTAGTTTTATTCATTTCAAACGGGCCGCATCCGGCCCGCGGGCCGTAGTTTGCCCACGGCTGAGTTAGAGCATAGGCCCACAACCCGCAGGGTCTTGGGTTTGATTCCCAGTCAAGAGAACACACCTGGGTTGCAGGTTCAATCCTAGGCCCTGGTCAGGATGCATGCAAAAGGAAACCAATCAATGTGTCTCTCTCACATCGATGTTTCTCTCTCTTTCCCCCGCCCTCCCTCCTTTCCACTCTCTCTGAAAAGCAATGGGAAAAATATAATGGGGTGAGTATTAACAAAAAACAACAATGAACAATAAAATACTAAGCTGTTTAAATATTACCTCATTTTTTGTTTAGCTTTTTCAAATGTTTCTAAATTTTGAAGAGCATGCCTTTCTGGCCATTCCAGAGGATTGGTTTCCACTAGACCTGAAGAAATAGAATCCACTGGACAGGTGTCTAAAGAGAAAGAAATACACATAAGCACTGAAAAGCATTAACACACTGAATTTAACTACATTAAAATGTATACACGTAGATACACTCATACATCCGTGTGTGTGTGTGGGGGGGGGGGGGTTGTGCTTGAGTGTGCATAAAGGCATGTTGGATTCAATTTTTACTTCAGACATTCAGTGAGGCTCTCTGATAGCCTGAAATGTGCAAAATACCATATAAAGTTTCTTGGAAACGAACAAACAAACCAGTATTAAGCTTTCTTTATTCTCATCTCCTCATAATAAAAGTGCATCTCTCAAGACCTACATCAAGTCTCTCAGCTCCTAACGAAGAGTTCTGTAACTGTCCTAGTTACATTTCTCTCTTCAAAATGCATATGTATTTACCTAACTAACAAATATACAGCATTTACCTCATACAAGACAACTTCCTAAGCCATTTATAAAGAATGCAAACCTCATAACAACCTGTTATCCCTGATTTAAAGATAAAGAATTGAGGCTCAGAGTGGTTAGGAAAATTGCCCAAGGTCACATAGCAAGCAAGCTGCAGAGCTGGGGTTCAAACTTCTTACTCTTGCTCCAGAGCCCATGCTGTAATCAAGAAGCTATGCTCTCTCACGTATTGAACACATCTCCCAGTTACAAGTAACCCCACACTGTCTCCAACATCTTTCAGATTATTCCAAACTGCTATTTAACTTTGAGACTGATATGTAAAAATGATGAAATGACAATGACAATACAAACAACAGCTCAACAATTTGGGGGCACTTACTATGTTCTAAGTGTTTTATATGTATCAACTCATTCTTCACAATAAATCTAGTGAGTAATATTCTTATCCCCATGAGGAAAGAGGCATGGAGAGGTTAAACAACTTGCCCAGACATTCAGCAAGGAAGAAACAAAACTAAGACTTGAACCTTGGCAGTCTAGCTCCAGAGCATGGCCTCTTAAACATACTCTAAATGCTAAATTTATATTTTACTTTCCAAGTAGATCAGAAGCCCTTAGAAAGACTCAAATTTTTACTTCTTTCTGTCCCTTCATGGTGTCAAACAGATAAAAGGTACTCAATACACATTACTGTTAACTTGATTCTTCAGTCATATTCTTATTGATCTATGGAATAAAAATGATTCTCACAGAATAAAAATAAAAGTTATCCTGTACATTTAAAATGCTAGGCAATCTTCAAATGTTTTCTTGTTACGTCTTGAAAAGCTTCACTCTACTCAAATTCACCACAACAATAGAAACCAGGAAAAGAGAAAGAAATGCAAGTTACTTTAAATGATTTCCTGCTCCCTCAGTAAAGTTTGGCGACTGTTCCTGCTACAATGAGTGCCAAATGTGGAGCATCTTATGTGGTTTTAGCCACGTTAAATTTCCATGTAGGCTCTATTTTTTTCACCTATGAAAACACAGTGTAATAGAAACCCACCCATTCTAGCAGCTTAGTGAGAGTCGTAGGATCACCTCAAAAGCCTCTCCCCTCTGCTCAGAAACAACTATACTGACCATGCTCTCTGACGGAAGTAATCAGAAAATGTTTAAGTGATAAGAAATACAGCTCACTATTTACACACATACACACACACACATATATCCAGTAAGTCTTCACTTAACGCCATCGGTAAGTGCTGCAACTTTAAGTGAAATGATATTAAGAAACCAACTTTACCATAGGCTAATTGATATAAACCAGAGTTAGGTTTCTATGGCATCTCATCAACGTTCTAATTAAACAATGTTGAATGAAATGATGTTACTTGAGAACCTGTTGTGCTTGTATATACAAATATACGTCAATTATTCAAGTTTATAAGATGTATTTAAATTTGATCAATGTATTTTATTAGTTTTAATAATAAATAGTAACTGTCATAAATGCCATACAAAAAACAACTAATATTTAAAGTAACAAAAAACTTACCATTTAACAGGTTGGAGGTAATAATTTTGTCTGTTTTTCTTAGAATTGTTTTAGGATTAATAGTTTCAAAATGATCTAAAAAGTGTTCCCTTGTGAGTGTTAACAGACTTTTGAGTTCATCAACAGAAACCACTTCGGGCTGCTCTGCCAACTTTCTCCTCTCTGTAAGACAACAGATCAACAGGACTAACTATATCACCATTACTTTAAATCCTCTCTAAAGCCCATCTACTACTCATTTTGTGAGAAATATTTTCAAAACTGAAATAAGTGAATTTATCCAGCAAACAACATTCCTGTGTAAGCTTGCTTTCATTTTAATCCCATTTGTAGATAATGGTGGAATTCCCAATTACGTGAGAGAGACAGAAAAAGAATAATTTGTTAACACTGAACGGTGAGAAATGGTAAAGCAAGTTTACAAAAGTTTTCAAAAATACCTTGCAGAGTCTTATGCTGTTATTTTGCAAAAATAAAACCTGTAAGACTTTATTGAAATAAGTTAATAAACTTGGCCACTGCTACTTATTTCTTCTCATTCCCAAAATTAAAATCAGAGTAAAGGAATAAGAAAAGACAACATAAGAAGAAACAATAAAGGATCAAAGTTTTCAATACATCTCGGAAGATGAGATTATGGTGGAGACAGCAAAGCAGAGGAGGTCATGAAGCAATTTGTCTACAATAAAGCAAAATATAAAATACTCCAGAAAAAAAAATTAGGAGAAATAAAATGGAACTGCTGTGTTGAACATATGAATTTAATGATGAGTGTGTGGCAGAAAATTGGAGCCTCTGGGAAACATAACAGTATTTGGTCTATACAGAAGAATAGACAGATTAAAAAGAAAGTGATAACAAAAGCAAAACAAAGGTTATGCAAGAAAGAAGAGTAGCTCATCATCATATATGACATGACTCAGCAGTAAACTTCTATACGTAGTCATAGTAATATTAGAACTAACCACTGATTTAACCAAAATTCATGACTTCTCTGTAAAGGGTGTGAAGAGAAAGTGAAGCTGATGTGAGAACACTAAAGTCTGTATCTCAGATGTTAAGATGATGACTGAAATTGGTAAATCCAGAAATAGCTGCCTACACATATTATTTATAAAACTGAAGGAAATGCCAGAAAAACTAGCTGAAGAGCTGAAGGGAGCTGCCTGTGGGCAGAGACTGAAAGATAGGGAGCTGAAGGGAGCTGCCTGTGGGCAGAGACTGAAAGATAGGGAGGGGTGGGCACTGCTGTTTTCCATATTAAGTTGTCCAGTTCCATTTGCATTTTTTAAACTATACCCATGTATTGCTTTTATGAAAATATTTCATTTTTAAAACACTTCTAGACTAATAACATTTTCTCCTATAATAAACAGTAAAGTATAAATTCCTACAGAATTCAATTCAACAAACATTTATTATATACTACCTGCAAAGCACTGTGCTGGGCCCTTAGGCACAGAGGATGAAAGCGCATTCATCACTCTAGGTGAGGTTGGTACATAAAAACACAAGGGAACAGGCTGAGCAGGTAGTGGCCAGACTTGGGGTTCTACTTTAGACCATCAGCTTTATGAGAAATGCCTCTGTAAAATCCCACCTCACCAATGTGGATATTGGGAGGGTCATTCCAGTTCTCATCCAAGATAAGTAACACATGGTTTCTGCAGACAGGAACACTAGCAATGGTAAAGTAATAGTGGCAATATATGCAGCTTTTATTACATCTTAGTGAGAATATAAAAAGCTGCTGGGAGCCTTCCAAAAACAAAAGTTATCAATGATTGCCTTTCATCTGAAAGGTGTACAATAAGTAATATGCTTTGGAAACTAGCCTTACACTTGTATTAACTCTAAAAACATACTTAAATCATGAGCCTGGCCCATACTTATTAAAACTGTTAAATATATATAAATATGGCAAACTGGAAAGCAGGGTAAGACTTCTGATTGATCTGGATGACTGAGCAATAGAGAGAGAAAGTATATAGAGATTAACAGGGGTATGAACAGGAAAATTTACTAAGGTGAAAATAATCTCTACACAAATGATTCTGTATACAAATGGTAGATAAAAACTTAGAAGAAATATAATGGATTAAAGTTGAAAACTAAATTAGCAAAAGAATACCATTCCTAAAAAAACTGGTAATAACTAAGAATTTATTAAAGAAAAATCCAGAGCAGAATATCTAAAGGATCAACTGATGGGTATCAATCAGGTTTGCACTGGGTTCTATAAATGCTAAAAAAGACTGAAAAGCTCAGAGTAGGGACCACAATATTGGAACAAAATGACAGTACTGCTGTTTGGGTGTGTTTTGAATCATACTGAACAGCCTTTTATTTAAAAATTGTTCAGTATTCTTTAAAAATCAGTGAAACAAGGTATTTCATATTTCCAAATACAAAAAGTTACAAATTACAAAAAAAATCAGGTAAAGTCTATATATTAAAATTCTAAGCGACCATCCAACTGTCCGTCCAGTAGCTATGATGCGCAATGACCACCAGGGGCCAGAAGTTCCAACCAGTAGCTATGACACACACTGACCACCAAGGGGGAGATGCTCTACGCAGAAGCTGCTGAGCTGCGGTGACTTGGCAGCTGCGGTTCTCGGGAATGCACCCAGAACCAGAGAGGAATTCCAGGGTGCGTCACCTGAGAACTGCCCTCTTGCAATCTGGGACCCCTCAGGCGATGTAGGAGAGCTGGTTTCGGCCTGATCCTCCCAGGCCAGGCCAAGGAACCCCACCTGCCAGAAGGACCCCACTCACTCTGCAGACAACTTTCAAGCAGCCTGGTGCTATCCCAGGTGCTGCCAGCCAGGGAGGGACCAGGGGAGGTTGGCTCCAGGGAGTGTCTGGCCCTTCTCACCCAGTCCCACCTCTGTGGCCAACTTCTAATTAATTTCCTTTCAATGTACACAAATCCATGCACGGGGGCACTAGTATAAATTATAAAATTACACATTTTAAATATCATTCTAAAAAATAGTATTAGATATAACTTTTAGAAATAAGTGAAATGAATTAAAATAAAACATTCTAAAAAATTAAACCCTAACCAAGAATTTTATTTCTTTTTTTTTTTTAAATAAAGAGCCTCAATAATGTGAGCCCATTTTCTTTTTTTAAAATATATTTCTTTATTGATTTCAGAGAGGAAGGGAGAAGGAGAGAGACAGATAGAAACATCAATGATGAGAGAGAATCATTGATTGGCTGCCTCCTGCATGCCCCTTACTGGGGATCGAGCCTGAAACCCAGCCATGTGCCCTTGGCCGGAATCGAACCTGGGACCCTTCAGTACACAGGCTGACGCTCTATCCACTGAGCCAAGCCCGCTAGAGCATGAGCCCATTTTCATGCACACTTTCCTGGTTGCTCTTTTTGGTTCTGTACTAGGCAGAGGAAAGGGGGTGGGGGGCATGGGGGATAAGTATAAATTTACTCCATGTCTTAATTATTTTCAAAATCCTTTTGGAACAAGTTTTTGTTTTTCATCAAAGACCACAATCTTTGTACTGCTTCTGAATCATTGTTTTTCTTTCCAAAGAAAACTGTGCCTATTACATTACTGATTTTTCATCATGCATAAATTGATTAATTTTACATTCACTTCTTTGAAATCACTGATATACACACTCAGATGTTCTTACATTGGAAACTTTGTCTTGCAGCCATTGTCCTCTGTCTTTTGAGACACAGGAATTCTGAACAGATGCATTTTTGTCCCCAAATTGTTAATCCAACATTAACTCTCTAAACAGAGAAGAGATTGGCTCAGCAAGCATTTCTATCATAAAGGGATTAACTGAGTCATTAATCTTAATCAAGATTTAATGCTTCAGATTGCAAGTTGGCCACTTCATGGCTATGCCCAGAACTGGTGTCTCCAGCAGCTACCAGCTCCAAGGCTTCCTTCAGCTTCAGGCCCCTACCTGCCTTTGCCCTTTGCCCTTTGCCTGGAGCTGAGGCATCCTTTTGGCTGCTACCTGGGTTACAGCTCAGCTGCTGGTACTTCTACATTTTCAGCATTTGTTTATCACTCATGGTCTTCCCCCTCCCCCCACACCCATACCCCCAGAGCTTCCAGTCACCCCTGCAGGCAGCTATGAGGTTTCAGCTGTTATATTCCCCTTCCCGACTATGTCAGAGGGCTAGTCCTACTGGGGTTCACTCTTCTTACTCAATGGAGAGATGCACCAGCTTCAAAGAGGGGCCTGTCCTTCCACTCGGACAGTGTTTCTGGTGGGAAGGGTCAGGGAGAGAGGTGAAGATGAAAGGAAGGGGAGATGTTGAAGGAACTGAGTTTAAAAGGCTGCAGGAGGCTTATTATGGCAAGGAATCAGGGCCTACAAAGAGGTTAGCAGGAACAGAACAAAGTCAAGAAGTGAATAATACTGCTGGTTGATGTTTGAAATAAAGGTTTTCCATTCACAAAAATACTAATATTTCTATTTGTTGCTTTATTTTTTGCATTTAACATGTACTACTTTTTATTGAAACTGATTTGCCTTTTTAATTATATTTTCCTTGAGGTAATATTTTCATAGTGGGGAAACAAAAATCAATGGTTGGAGGAGTTCAAGACTACACAATTATCCTGGCTTGGTACAACTGAAAAAGAAGGTAATTCTTACATGAACAACTGAGACCAAATACTCTAAAATTATTTTCCATTGAATAAAACAGGCTATTTAATTCAAGATATTTTTAAAGTGCTTTCAAAAATGGTAGTTTTTACCATTATAATGATACTTTATAATGTATCTACTGAATTCTAATATCATGTTTACTATAGGTAACTAGTGAGGCCTCACAATTTGATTTAATTTCTTAGAAATTCTATCAATTAATTACAGTAGCTTAAAATAAGTTCATATTAGGTACTACTGAATGTCTACTTATAAAAAAATGTTATGAATGATAACCAAGTTAACATTTAGTATATGAAAAAAAACTTAAACTATGACCCCTGAAAAGGTGTTAATTTCTTGAATAAGGAAAAATCCATAATGCCAACTTCACCCATATGTGACATGTGCTTAATTATTATTGGTAGTCATGATTAAGTCTAGGAATCAATGCTCAGGTGAACATCTTAATTTCTCCAAACATGCATTTTCTTCTCTTTGCAGTCTCTATTCTCTTATGACAGCTAAAAATATGTAAAAAGACATTTTAGAAAGAGCTCTGTGTTAACCAGAATACAATTTAGGTGTCTCCTAGCATACATTTAAAAATGCTGAAATACAGAATTTTCCTGAAGAAATATTTCTATAAATGTTAACTGTGATGTACAAATAAATAAGAATATTTTTAATCTGGTGGGAAAAAAGTTGCGGTCCTTTTCTACTCTTACATCACCTCTACAAGAACAAGAATAGTTCTACAAATGAGTGTCTTACCTAAAAGACAATGTATATAAGAAAAAGTGTGGAAATAACATCCGAACAGGTTCTTACAGTAGAATAAAATGTACAAATTGTTACTTACTCAGGCATTCTTTCAAAGCCAGAGCTTGAACTCTGGCTAACTGCTTCTCTCTTTCTATAAGCTGCTCTCCAGAAAAATGTGGAAGCGACAAGAAGTCAAAAGGAATACCTGAGACACACAAAAAAAGTCAGTATTAAAGATATTCTATGACAACAATTAATATTCAGTTCCCAGCTAATGCGCTAATATATAATTTAAAAAGTAAAAGCCAATTATTCATCTCTCTTGATCTTCATATTTCCAATTAAATAATTAAGCTGCAAAAAACAAACATATTAAATTATCGTGCATTTTAAACTTTGACCTGCTTCTTAAGCTGAGGGAATTTAGGTAGTAGAGTAGAATTCCCTCATCACATTTTCTTCCATGGGCTCAGCTACTGAAACTCCTACACAGAAGGGAGTACGGAGAGGATGAAGGGAGTAAAGAGGGTCAAATATATGGTGATGGAAGGACACTAGACTTTGAGTGGTGAGTAGACAGATACTGTATTATAAAGTTATACACCTGAAAATTACAGTTATTAACCAATGTTACTCCAATTCATGTAATTAAAATTTTTAAAAAATGACAATTAAAAAATAAACTCCTACACAAAACACAAATGGAGTAGTGTTAGGTATCTAAAGATGGCCCCCAATCACCCACATGTCCTGCGATTCACCCACTGTGTAGCCCTTCCACGGTGAATCCTGGCTAGCCCTATGAAAACAATAAAGTATGGTAAATTGATAGTGAATGACCTCTAGGCTAGGTCACAGAAAGCCTTGAGGCTTTCTAGAACAATTGCTCTAGTCTGCACATGACTGGAGTTCCAGCTGTGTATCTGCAATCAGATGTGGGACTTTAACACAGAAACTCCAGCTGGGCTGAGCCCAGTCAGCAGGACTATGAGACATAGTAATAAATAGTCATTTTTAAGCTAATCTTGGGGTCGTTTGTCACACAGTAGCAACACCAAAGCATACAGGTTGAAGAGAAAAGGTGAGCAATAAAACAGAATAAAATGCTTGAGAGAAAGTAAATGAAAATGAGAAATTATAGAAACATAGTATGTGTTTAAAGTGGACTATACTGAAAATGTCCTATTTGGAATCAAGGGCTGACCTAGTAAAGTTTACTGGGTACAATATAAAGGGATTAATTCTCTATATTCTAAATTGTTCAAATACATAATACTATGTTTAAAATAAAAGATAAATTTACTGAAAGTGAAATGGAGTTTGGGGAAAATAAGTTCATCAAAAACCACATAAGTTAATTATACCTATAGATACAAACAAATGTCAAAATATTTTCCACTCAAGTTAACACTTACCCAGTTGGGTTTCTCCTGTCCTTGCTTTCATCTTTCCGTGAATGAAACTGAGGGCAAACGAGCCATTGATCTGGTTGGCTGAGTGAATCAGTGTGGCTTTGCATTTTCTACTGTCATTACCTTGTAACAAGAGGTAATAGCTACAACACTCTCCTTTCACTTCAACATCTGGAACTAAACAAAAACAATTTTTAAGTATGTGAAAATTCACCATGCAGCAAGGCAGAATCACACACCGGACCCAGAGAATATAATGACATCCTGTGTTATTGTAAAACAAACTGTTACCCAGTATATTTGGGGCTAGCAGTTGTTTAGTTAACTGAGAAAGCTGTTAAAATTAGGGAATCAAAAAAATTAAAATGAAATCTGATAATCATAAGAAAAATACAAATTTTAATTTAAATTAAAACTGTGTGTACTCATTTATTAACTTTTGATGTTGCTCATTAGAGTTCCATAATATTTTTCTTATAAAACCCACTTATAATGTATCAACTACTATGTCCAGCTTCAATTTCTTTAAAGGGGAATAAACTGACCCCTGCAGGCATGCACAACTCAAGTGGTGGGAGCAGCAGTGTACAGATGTGCTTAAGAGTAGCTTTTTGCTCCTTGCAGTGGGCACCCATAATGTATTTTTGCAGAGGGAATGGAGAGCATTCATTAATCTGGCATGCCAGTTACATGAAGGTCAGTTAAGACAGCGTCTAGTATATTTTAAAAACAAATCAAGTGAGGGTTATAGTGAAGGTCGAAGAAAAACTGTGATGCCTTTGAAAGTAAAAATAGAAGCAGAGTCCTTTTTATTGAAGATGGTGAACTGGACATAATCATTTATTTTCACTATCTCCTGAAATTCCATGAAATGAGAATAAAGAGAATTTTAAAATAGCAGAAATCTCCAAGGACTAATATCTGAGAGAAGAGAATAGTGACTAAATTTTGAAAGCAGGAAAGCAGATGAACGAATGGTAACAGGCCTCAGTCTCTCCATTGCTACGGAAGCTGAGAAAAACAGAGGAGAGAGCTTAGAAGGAAGACAATTTATACTACAACCCCTGACAGGAGACTTTGGGATGGTGGTCCCAGATGGCACTGGAAGCAAAATGAAGGTGAAATAAAAAGACAGGCTGAGCATGCATATAAGCATAACCAATGGACACAAGACACTGGGGGGTAGGGGAGGACAGGGGAAGGTCAAGGGGGAAAAAAAAAAGGAGACACATGTAATACTCTTTGTAATACTTTAAGCAATAAAACAAAATGAAAAGAAAAAAAAAGAAAAAAAAAGACAGGTTAAAAGTCTGTTTGAGAAGCAATATGGCTTCCCGGCTCCTCCTTATTCTACTCAGGTAAATGGTTGTCCTTTCCCCAGCCCAGAAAACCAGTGGCTTATCCTCTCAAGAAGATAAAACAAGGTGTCCCTGGCCTTGGAGATATAAACAGAGCTTAGGGTCCGAGTTGGTTCTCAGTGGATTAGGTGACTGATTCTATACAGAACATTGAGGCCCTTTTCTCTTCTTCATCTACATAACTTCCAGAATTTTAGAAGACAGATAGAACTGAGACTTCTTTTGGAAATGTGGTCAGCCCTAGAGGACAGACTAAAGAATCCCAATATTGGGGTCACCTAATGTAATGGTGCAGCAAGATCACCCTAACATGAAGATCCCAGTCAACGAGCTCTACCTATACACCCAAGTTTTCCAAACAGCTTTCTGGTACTCTCTCTTAAATATGAGCAGACAGCCAAACATTATGAGACTTAAGGAAAGTCTTTACTATGAAAGCCAGATGCTGAAAGAAACAAACAAAAAAAAGGGACTTGTAGAGAAACAAAGAATATGGCGTAAAAAAAAAATCACGACAAAAACAAATCAGACCACTAAAATCCTCAGAGATGATATTGCATCAACTAAATAACAGAAAATTACAAGAAAAGAACATTAACTTAGAAAGAGCTCATGGAAATTAAAATTAGAAAGCAGAAATAGGATTTCAACTAATAGGTTGGAAGATAAAGTTTAATGAATCTATCAAAAAAATAAGAGAAGACAAAGAAATATAAAATAGGAGAGAAAGAGAGAAACCCAAACCAGGAGGTACAACATCCAAACACGACTAACAAAAGAGGAAACATTAAAAAATGGAGGAAAGGAAATTATCAACAAAATAATTATAACAACATTGTCCCAATAAAAAGACAAACTTCCAGGCATGCTGAGTGCCCCATCCTATATAATCCTATATAATAAAAGCATAGTATGCAAATTGTCCCCTCAACTGGGAGTTTGTCTGGGAGTTTGACCAGGGGGCAGAGCTGGCTGGAGGAAGGGCGGGAGTACCAGGTCGGCAGCTGGCAGCCGCTAGGGACCCTATCAGTGCATGAATTTCGTGCACTGGGCTTCTAGTACAAGAATAAAAAGAGCCCTGGCCAGGTAGCTCAGCTGATTGGAGCCTGGACCCATGTAGCAAAAGGCTGCAAGTTTGATTCCCAGTCAGGGCACATATCCAAGTTGCTAGTTCCATCCACAGTTGGGGTACCTATGGGAGGTAACCGATTGATGTTTCTCTCTCCCTTCCTCTCTCTCTAAAATCAATAAAGTGCATATCCTCTGGTGAGGATTTTAAAAAGCAGAATAAAAATAGATTCTACAAAATGCCAGAGAAAATGCTTGCTTAGAAGGAAGGAAGGAAGGAAGGAAGGAAGGAAGGAAGGAAGGAAGGAAGGAAGGAAGGAAGGAAGGAAGGAAGGAAGGAAGCCAAGAGTGAGAATGGCACTAAAATTCTAAACAGCACCAAAATTGGAAGACAATGGAGAAATGCGTTCAAAATTCTTATATATACTAAGAAAAAAAAATCTATTGTAAGTTTATTACAATAGTTCATTTCACAGATTTGAGCATACTGTGGGTTAAAGCCTATCCCCCAAAACAATTATGCAATACAAAAAACACACTTTTTACAATTAGCTTGAAATAGGGACATTAATCCTATTCACAAACATCAATCTTAGAAAAGGAATTTAGATAAAGATTAGAAAGAAAAAACGCTTGTTACTAGTTGTATTTGAAACTAAGATTTTCCAAGACTTAGTGACCTTAATTCATTTACCAATTTAGCACTTTGCAACTCCAATTACATATCCTTTCCATACTTATTTAAATCCTATCACCTTTATTAGAACTTTAATCACTGAAGCCTATAATTACAACAATCTTATTTTCCTTAAAAGAAAAACATTTATTTTACAGAATTCCCCTAATCATAATGACTATGCAGTCATTTAAAAAATGGTGTTCCAGATTTGGCAGGTGTTAATTGAAGACTTACTAAATAATTTTATGTAAATACAGAGTAACAGATTTATAATTAGCATAGTTATTCAATTCCCATAGCTTTTCCTGAAGAAATAAGGGGAAATGATTACAATGGAAAATTCTTCTCTATTTTCATCTGTTATTTTTACACTGTCAACTTCTAAGAGATTGATTGGCTTGCATGTCCCCCCCCACACCAAAACCAAATATGCATTTGGATCTACTATATAGGCAAGATGGGAGAAACAGAAATTACATGTTTCCTTTAGTTGCATCAAATTTTGTAAGTAATATATAAACTATAATGAAAACTGTGTCATTACTAGTTTCATTCACAAACAAAATTTTAGCATAATAAAAACCAAGTTATATTTTATATCAATACATTTCTCCGCAGTTCTTAAAATCCTGTAGCCAACCCCCTCTTTTTTATAATAGTTCAACAATATAACTGGAAAATAGTATTTCAAATGATATCATGCAAAATATTCCAGGATAATTTGGGAAACAACTGTTAAGTGAATATTCTAACTTATTGAAAAGTAAATAATATGCCCAATTATTTTGATAATGATAAATATTAAACAATAAAATATAATATAATCCTCAAGGTAGGCATTTTTGGAAACCACACATTTTCCAATGACATCGTTTTTCAAGCAATTCTAGACCCAACTTTTGAAATGGCCCTTTGAGTCAACTGAAGAGGCAAAAAAGAAAACATTTTTTAAAAATCAATATACTTACTTTATATTCATAAAGCATTTCCAAAAAATGTACTGCCTACTTTCATCCCCCACCTTATTTGTCAGACTAAGCTTCGATGACTTAGTGCAAAACTTAGCTGCCACTAAGAGTGTTCAAGAAAATTCCCTGCCACAATTCTACAAAGAATCTAAAATCGATCAAGAAATGATATTGTTCACTGCTGAATCCTAGCACCTAGAATAATGCCCTGAATACAGGAGACACACAATAAATATTTGTTGAGTGAATACTTTCTCTTTGCCACTGAAATCTCTTTCAAAATCTTTACCAGAGTCCTTTATCCATTCTCAATATGAAATTTATTCATAGATCAGTTATGGTGTGTAATTTTAACCTTATTAGTGTCAGCTCACTATTTCAAAACAATTTCAACACTGACTTAAGAATGAAGAAAGTACATGCTTCAATTCAAAATATTTCATCAGTTATTAGTCTAGTCTCTTTATTTTTTTTTCTTTATTAAGATATTACATATGTGCCCTTATCAGCCCATTGCCTCCCCCCAACACCTCCCTCATGCCCTCACCCCCCTGTTGTCTGTGTCCATTGGTTAGGCTTATATGCATGCATACAAGTCCTTTGGTTGATCTCTCTAGTCTAGTCTCTTTAAAATATTTTTATTACATGACTTTTCTGTCAGCAAAATAATACTATTTTTTTCAAAAGTACCTTTAAAATTTTTCCTTTCAAAAGAATTCAAATTTTTTTAAAAAATGAGGCAACAATAAACTTAGAAATCTAAAGTTATTGTGGATGGCCTATAGACGCATTCAGACTTGGGTGCAAATTCTGACTTCACCCTGTAATTTAAGTTTTTTGATTTCTCTGTAGCTTAGCTTTCTCATTTGTAATATAAAGTTAGGGGATGATCAACATCTAGTTTTTAACAATTTCATAAAACTTCTCTGTGAGCATATGATAAGCCAGATATTTTTTATGGTACAACCGGCTTTTCAATACAAGTTTTAAAGAGAAGTCTTGCTTCAGAAATCTAATAGGGTTTACTGAATTGCATACTATCTAATAAAAGGGTAATGTGCAAATTAACCATCACTACATCACAAAGATGGCAGCACCCAGTCCTCTCAGCCCCGCCAGAGTCCCCCAGTCCAGGGCGGGGGGGTGGAGCGGGGGGGGGGGTGGGGCGGCCACTGAGAGTGGGCAGTGTGAGCAGCCTGGCGGAATGCTTGCTTCATCGCCATGGCGATGAGGCAAGCATTCCACCCCATCAGCGGAGGGCCTCTGGGCAGTGGGCATGGCAGGGGGGGGGTGGGGGGGTGGGGGGGTGGGCGGGGGGCAAGCCTTCTGCACCTGGCCACAGATGGGTCTCTGGCCGCAGAGAGCTTTTGGGCAGTGGGTGCGGAGTGGCCAGGCCCCGCAGAGAGCTACTGGCACACGGATTCGTGTGCAGGGCTACTAGTTTATACATATAGTTCTTATTGCCTTTTTACCAGTACCATAATACTTTCTGAGTTTTTTCCTGAAAACCCTTTTTAAAAATCATTCTTTTGCTACTCTTGTAATTTTTTAATGTTTTTATTGTTTTTAATGTTTATATTGATTTTAGAGAAAGAGGAAGGGAAAGGAAGAGAGAGAGAAACATTATACATGCCCCGACTGGGGACCAAACCCACAACCTGGGCAAGTGCCCTGACTGGGAATCGAACCAGTGACATTTAGGTACACAGGCAACTCTCAACCAACTGAGCCACAAAGGGCAGGGCTCTTTTGCAACTCCTAACTTAAGCATACTTAAATGGGGAATTGGTTTTCTATTTTAAGTCAAACGATATGAAATCGCTGATATTTAACAATTTTTGATATACCCATATAACAATACCATATGGTTCAAACTAATACATATGTATGTATGTATTTTATTCCATCAAGGGATGATATGGTAAACCTGAGGAACTGATAAAAACTGGGGTACAAATTTTGGTTCACACTGAACAGACGACATCTATTAAAAGGCTTTTTTTTTTACTTTTCCAAAAAGCAAAGCATGAAGGAACACACGTTAGCTGTGTTACTTTGGGCAAGTTACTAACAATTTGAGCTTCAATTAACTCAGGAAATACTAGGGTTTGAATTTAAATCATCTAATTTAATAAAAGAAATAAGAATTTCATTTTTACAATGACATCTTGGTTAAGAGCACAGAAACTGTTTTTTTAATATGCTGTATAATAAATTAAGCACTTTTTTTTACAAAGTTTATTCCCAAAATGTCTCCAAAAAACCCATGTTCAATGTAATTAGCTATCTAAAAACCCTAAGTTCTGCCTGAGATCACTGATATCTTTTGAATGTATATACTTTATGTTACAGTTGATTGTTAGAGATAATAAAAATAAAATCTTCAAATGATGTGGATCCTTTTTAATTAGTAGTAATACATATTATTTTCCCATAAAGAAAAAGTTATCTCCACTGAAAATTTGATAAATTTTGCTTCTATGTCATACCAGTGAAACAACTTAAAGATTTCCTACTTACCACTGATTGCCTTAGGCTTTTTAGCTATGTATTCCTTCCATTTTCTTGAACTGAGTTGGCTGGGAGGTGGAATAAGTATGTTACTAATAGTACATGGCAATACAAAAAGTGCACCAACCTATTGAAAACAGAATATACTTTTAGTGACTGCACATTGATATTAATTCTTAAGTAGTATCATCTGACAAGTTTCCTCTCATATTTCACCTACATAAAATGTATTTAGTAATGTTCTCTCCCAATAACTCCACTAAAAAACAAAAAAAATGCCCCACCTCCACCCTACACCCCCAAAAAAGCCAAAGACCAGTCAACAAAAATAGAGAAAGTTCTTCAAAGCTATAAGCTTTTTTGGTTATAAATCTCTAAAAAACCTTACTATTCACATATCTGCTTCAAGTTCAGGTTACAGGTATAATTTCTTCTTTTTCTGAAAACTAATGAGAGGCCAGAAATTATATCATCAAAAGATTTTGTCATATTTAGCCATAATTTTATAACCTTTTGATTGGATGGATTATTGTTCTGGCTTCAAAATTAGAATAATTTAGTAAGCAACTTCAAAACTTCTGTTCCTAGAAATTAAAGATTTAATGATGATAAGTACAAAATGCAGAGAAACCACATGAATCACATGCCAGGAAACACACAGCAGCTTCTCACTGATTTATGAGCAAACTCAACTTATTCATCTTTGTATTCCCAGGGCTGGCCAGACAGATGCTTATTAAATATTTGTTTTCAAAAAACCACCATAATATATTTAGGTAAATTTTTAGTTTGATTAAGCACTGAATAAACAAATTGCAATTCTGAAAGTGGCATTTTGCCACTTATTTTAGAACACAAGCTATAACAGTCAGCACATCTCAATAAATACATATTTTTAAACTCTGGGGAAATTTAGTCGGGGCATTTGCTATAGATCTTAAATCTAAGGCAAAATCACTTTTAACTGTCCTCCATAGATGGATGGGTTACAAGAGATGTGATACTCAAATAATGCATTAATGTGCTAGTTTTACTGCTACTTATTACTTTTACTTATATATTATTAACAGACATAAAAATAAGTATATTACAAGAAAATAAGGTAATTAATGTGCTTATTTTCCTTTATTATTATAGTAATAACCTTTTTCATTTTAAGTCAAATGTATTTTACAAAGTCAAGAATTAGACATTAAAAACATTTAGCAATGTAAAATAATCACTAAGTATAAAAGACCTATGTGTAATTTTCTAAGTACTAAGTCCTAGTTCTTCATTGTTGCATAAATAAGACTTCAAAGTCCTAAATGCACGGCAAAACTGCACGACCCAAAGACTGTGATGTGACCATGCTAGATCAGGGCCCAGTTATACTTGACAATTACATAATCATTATAATTAGAACTTCACAGTTGAGAGGTGCTAAATGAAGTTCAATGCCTAACATATAGCCTGATACAAATGTGGCTGGACCCACAGGCCAAAGAAGTGACCAAGTTTTTGAGTCATTTCTTTTTGACTAAACATTTGCTACAAACATGAATGACATTTCTAAATCTCGCCATGAAGTTTATTTTGAAAATTTCTTCTAAAAAACAAAACAACACTTCATGTCTGCAGAGGACTTTGGAGTTATTATGAAAAGTCCAAAGTGGCTTAATATAAATTAGGCCCAAAATCATGTTATATTAAAGAAACCAAATCACTCAAAAACAGATTCATAAACTATAGTCCCTTTTCTCACACATCATTAAATATTGAGTTAGAAACAAAACACATTCCCTACATTGCCACATAGAGAAGAAATCTGCTCCAACAATAACATGGAGTTCTTCTTGGTACTGTTTTTTGTCAGTTCTCTGAACTAAGGAGTTAAAGAAATGAAAGAACGGTAACTGTAAAACAATTCTACTCCCTAAGACAAGTTTGATTCTCCAACTCACAAGGTGCTTGAATTTATTTATTAAAAATTTTAACTCTAGGAATTTACAATTACTCCTTTCCTTAAGGATAATTATTTTTCCGATTATGAAAATATACCAAGAAATAGTGTTAGTATGAATGGTATCACTATAAACTTTAGAAACAAGAGATCTGTAAAAACTGTAACTTCTGAACAAAAATTCAAGGACACTATACTAATGCTCCATTTTCAGCCAACATTTTCTTTTTTATACAAAGTATCCTGTTCTTAGGTCTATTTCTAAAAATCATTACATTTTTTAAGAGAATTTAAAATTTGTTGAATATTTACAGGTATAACTGATCACATTCATATTTACTTTAGTATATAACAGATACAATAGACTGGCGCGTACCCATTCTGCTGATGGCAACAGAAACTACTGAGCATTTCTGGAATATGAAAACTACTGTTTTTCTCTATGTATTCCTAACACTCTCCCTCCTCCCAACCCCATAAGCAGCAAGTAGCAATCAGGAAATCTTCTGCCTCGTCTAGAAGTATAAATACAATCCTCGAGGGGAGGAATTTTCTCGCAAGCTGTAGAACTTCTCTTAAAACAATGGCAATGAAAAGTATACTGAATACTGTTCTTATATAAAACAGCACAGTCAAACATTTAATGTAGAGTGGGACAAGGAAACATTCTACCCAACACAGAAAATGTAACCTAAAATGAAGATATAAATGAAAGGATACAACTCGAATTCAATGTCCGACAGATAGCAGGAGGGTAGGTCTGATAATTTTATCAGCTGCACAAATTCTAAAGCTAGGCCATAATAATGGAAAACCTAGAAAAGAAATTAAAATTATATAATACTTTAAACACTATAAGGTAAAATTGAACAAATAGGTGATTAAGGTTTAAAACTTTAAAACGAATCTAAAAAAGCATGTATTTACACATAACGTCAAACACACATTTCATCCTCTATAGCAGACAAGAATTTCTTCCATTTCAATTCTACATATCAGAGCCGAGAGACAGACATGGAGATTTCTTAGGACTAGAAAGATATTAACAGGGAGATGATGAGTCATAAAAAGAGGAAAGCAACAAAGGAAAAGTTCTCAATCTTTCCTGTTTATTCTCAGCAAGACAGACAACCCAAGAGACTAGAATATTTTTTAAAAAAACTAAGAATTTACAAGACTGAGAAAGCAAAAGAAAGGTGACCTCAGAATGAACTCAGGTTAAGTGGTATGCTGAAACAAACAAACAAAAATCCTTGGAGGAAACACTGAAAAAATTAAAATTAAACAGAAAACTAGTGAAGGCAAGAGTGCTAATTAACAAAGTTCCACTCAGAAATAACATTGCAGTATTTCTTTGGGTAGAGCCAACAACTAAATTAGGAGTGAGCTAATGAAGAAGGGCAGGTATTTCAAGAGATGGGGCTAGAGCGCTTCATAAGAAGGGCAAAAAAAAGTGAAGATATATTGAGGAACCAACACAAAGTTGTAGACTGGCAGAAAGCTGAGTAATTTTACAATGTAAGTTTATGTGTGAGTATATTTGTATTATACATATACAGTGTATATAAACATACATATATACAAATATAGAGTGTTTGTGTGTGTAGAGAGAGAGAGAGACTGAGAGACTTACATGTACTGAAGAGGTTGTACCCTAAGGTTCTTTTCAATTGAAGCAAAAATTAGATATGCTATTCTTACTTAAATGGGGTACTACCAAAGATGAGAATTTGAGATCATCAATCTTATGTTCCTAATCTTTAGAAAAGAATTTAATATTCCTTTGAAAGATGGCCATGACAAGTTGCTTAAAGTAATCAATTCTGAACAGCTATTGGGAAATGTGTTTCCATCGCCTTTTTGTGTTACCCTTGGGTCAGAAAATAACACCCATCCATTTGACATCAGTATAATGTTATGACTGTTATATTTTGCATTCTTGAATTAGGCCTTTTAAAGTGAATTTCTAGAGTGCTTCTACATGCATAGCTCTTACGTTATTATTCCAATGTAAAAAAAAAAAAAGACAATTAAACCCTCTTTAATCATTATTCTTTATAATTACTTGCATTTTAAGAATCTATGGTGATATGGGACAAAAACCTAACATTTTAAACACAGTAAATGAAGCATATGCCCAGTACTATGTCAGAGGCTATTTTCTCACCCCATTTAACTCTCATGATAACTTTGTAAGATAAGTGTGTTATTATTGGCTCCACTTCACAAATGAGTTAATCAATCTACCCAAGGTTATAATGCCTCATAGGTGACAGAGTTACGTTTCCAACCCAGGTCTGCCTAACATCAAAGCCTCTCCTCTTTCCACTGCATCATACTCTCTGACCTTTTCAGTCTAAGAAAGGTCACATAGTAAAGTTCATGCCAACGGCAGTTGCAGGTCTATAATGACCTAAAGTTAGGCCCATTTCATTAAAACAATATTTTTAAAAATCTAAAACAATAATAGTTTTGCCAACATTTAATGTGATTACACAGTATAATTTAAACACTTAATTTTACTATAATAAAAATACATTAGTAAATGTGAATTTATAACTCGAACTTATAGGGACAAAAATATGCATGAATGGATAACTGCAAAATTAATTAAACATAGATTACCTTTGGTAAACAAGTCTTATCCTTCGATGGAATTATCTTTTTGTCAAGAAAGCAAGTATTTAAGTTAGATGTATTAAAACTCTTAGGTGCAACTCCCTTTAAACAGAATTCAGGAAAACAAATTTCACATCCAAACTGAAAAGAAATCAAGAGGAAAAAATTACAGACATCACGAATAAAGTTATAAAGATTAATACATCTTCTTGCAATATAAAAGTTGGGAGGAAACCCCTATGTAAATTTATTTTCCTTTCTTCAGCTCAAAGTGTGGTTCCATTTATGTACAAATCCCACTTATTTCAACTCACACATGAATTTTTCATGAAAAGCTCTCCTTGGCCCTTCACCAGCCTGTGAAAGTATATTAAGTCCATTCTATGCAACCACGGAACCAAATAACCTCCTTTGCATATACTTGTTCAATATCTGGCTTCCTACCAGTCTGGAAGTTCTGCAAAAACAGAATTTGTTCATGCGACAACGGAAGCTGCTGATGAAAGATCAATTCCTGCAGAAGTAGTAATAGCAGGGTTGCTAATAATACCAAGGGTAACAACAATGATCTCTAACACTCTGAGTGGTTACTTTGTACTTTAAATAATTTAGTTCTCATAAAAATCTATGAGCTAGAAGCTATTATTATCCCTGTCTTACAGATGAAGACAACTGTTGCACCAAAAGGCTAAATATTACCCAACATATCATACAAAACCACCAAGAAATAGAGTTGGGACTTAAATGCAGGCAATCTAAGTATAGAATCTATGTCCTTAATCACTATAATTCCTCTAGGCTAAAAGCTATTTTCCAACCAAAAAAAAAAAAAAATTGATTTCAACTTTTAAAAGCATCCAGTGGAGATATGGAAAAAAATAACAGAATCACATGAAAATAACTGGTCATTATCCGTCTGTATAAAAACATGTAGTTTCAGAAAAATTATACAAAAGCAATTCTCCTAGCTAATCGTATCTTGCACACTTCCAGGTGGCTATATGATCTTTACATTCAAACCACTGCAGAGCCCAGCTGGTGTGGTTCAGTGGTTGTCAACCTATGAACCATGAGGTCACGGTTCAATTCTGGGTCAGGGCACATGCCTGGGTTGTGGGCTAGATCCCCAGTAGTGGAAATGCAGGAGGCAGCCCATCAATGATTTTCTCTCATCATTGCTGTTTCTAGCCCTCTCCCCCTCTTCCTTCCGTTATCTGAAATCAATAAAAATATATATTTAAAAATTACTAGATGTACCAGTTAATAATGCGGATTTTTTTTCAATAGATGGAGTTACACATATGTTGATATATATGCAATTTGATATGTATGCTATTTTGCTGTATTGAATACAAGCTTCAAAACTTTCATATGTCAAATTTTGTGAAGGTGTTAACATCATAGATATTTTTACGCTTAAAAATGTCAAATTTCATGCCAAAAAAAGAACATTTGCAGGAAGTTTTAATTCATTACTTTATTTATAAGAAAAGTGCTGCTGAAAGTTATCATATACTTCAGGAAGCTTATGGTGAACATGCTCCATCTCAAGATACTTGTGAATGCTGATCTAAACACTTTAAAAGTGATGATTTCGATGTGAAAGACAAAGAACATCCAGGTCAACCGAAAAAGTTTGAAGATCAACAATTACAAGCATTATTGGATGAAGATGGGTGTCAAACTCAAAAACAACTTGCAGAAAGATTAAACGTTGCTCAGCAAACAAATTCCAATCGTTTACAAGCAATGGGAAAGATTTTAAAGGAAGGAAAATAGGGGCCACATCAACTGAAGGAAAGACAAATGGAAAACGGAAAAGTCATCAGTAAAATGTTGCTTTCAACGGCACGAAAGAAAGTCTTTTTTGCATCGAATTATGACTGGTGATGAAAAATGGATTTATTTTGAAAATCCCGAATGCACAAAATCATGGGTTGATCCAGGTCAACCATAAACATGGACTACAAGGCCAAATCGCTTCGGAAAGAAGACACTGCTCTGCGTTTGGTGGGATCAGGAAGGTGTGGTGAATTATGAACTTATAAAACCAGGTGAAACTGTTAATACTGATCACTACTGACAACACATAATCAATTTGAACCAGGCTTTGATCGTGAAATGACCAGAATGTGCCAGAAGACACGGCAAAGAAATTTTGCTTCGTGATGACGCACCATCACACACCTCACAACCAGGTAAAGACACGTTAAAAGATCTTGCCTGGGAAGTATTAACCCACCCACCGTATTCACCAGACCTTGCTCCTTCAGATTACCACTTGTTCTGATCGATGGCACACGCACTTTCTGAGCAGCACTTCAAAACATACGAAGAAGTGGAAAATTGGGTCTCTGAATGGTCTGCCTCAAAACAAGAAAAGTTCTATTGGGGCGGTATCCACAAATTACCTGAAAGATGGGGGAAATGTGTAGCTAGCGATGGACATTACTTTGAATAAAGCACTTCTGATGTTTCTCTTGAAACGATCATGTTTTCTTTGGATCTCAAAATCCACATTTTTAACCAGTTAATACTTAATCCGCATTACTAACCAGTTAATAGCTAATCCGAACTATTAACTGGTTAATAATTAATCTGCATTTTTAACGGGTTGATAGTTAATCCGCATTATTAACCGGTTAATAGCTAATCCAAACTATTAATCGGTTAATAATTAATTTGCATTATTAACCACAATAATTCAGATTTTGTAATCAAAGAAAACACGATCATTTCAACAGAAACATCAAAAGTACTTTATTCAAAGTAATGTCCATCGCTAGCTACACATTTCCCCCATCTTTCAGGTAATTTGTGGATACCGCCCCAATAGAACTTTTCTTGTTTTGAGGCAGACCATCCAGAGACCCAATTTTCCACTTCTTCGTATGTTTTGAAGTGCTGCTCAGAAAGTGCATGTGCCATCAATTGGAACAAGTGGTAATCTGAAGGAGCAATACAACAAAATAGCATACATATCAAATCAAATATATATCAACATATGTGTAACTCCATCTATTGAAAAAAATCCGCATTATGAACCAGTACACCTAGTATATTAAATTAAAAACCACTGCAGAAAGGTTTACCTGAAGATTTTACCTTCCCAAGTTTAAGATGAGAAAGCATTCAAATCAATAAGGACCCAGCTGCATTAATTCCTGCTGTCTTATTAGAGGTTGTATTACACTATTATTAAGGATAAATAGAAAAGGGAAAAAAAGACTAGTAATAGGTGCAATAAACCTTTACAGGAATGCAAGGGCCTACTCATGTTTCCACGTCACCCTGAAGAAATATTAAGAAACTTGGTTTTAGTTTTGTCTATATACAAAACTCTAGGACATTTACTTCAACAGGGGCACAACTTATAAAAGACACCAAACATATTCATAGAAGAAATGGCAAACAGAATTGAAACCTCAGAGAAATTTAAGATTAGGAAGTCCAACTAATCTGATAGTCTCAACTTGCAGTTAAGAAATCTGGAGTCCAGCAAGGTTAAAAAAAATTGCTCAAAATCAGAGAACTGCTTAGTAGAGGGCAGAGATTACTAAACTAGTATTATAGGTAAGATATTATGTCCTAAATAATTTTCCTATGTATGTGATAAAATAAAGACGCTTAAACAACATGCAGTTAACTAATGTCAAATTCTATATTTAAAAAAAATATATTACATTCTAGAACAGCCGTGGGCAAACTACGACCCGCGGGCAGGATCCGGCCCGTTTGAAATGAATAAAACTAAAAAAAAAAAAAAAAGACCGTACCCTTTTATGTAATGATGTTTACTTTGAATTTATATTAGTTCACACAAACACTCCATCCATGCTTTTGTTCCGGCCCTCCGGTCCAGTTTAAGAACCCATTGTGGCCCTCGAGTCAAAAAGTTTGCCCACCCCTGTTCTAGAACTATAGTGTCCAAAACATAATCACAGTGATTACTTACATTTAAATTAATTAAAGAAAATAAAGTTAAAAACTCAGTTCTTGGGATGAATAGTCACATATAAAGTGCTCAGTAGCAGTATGAGGCTAGTAGGATACTGCATAAGCACAGATAGAACATTTCCATTACCACAGAAAGTTCATTTACAGTGCTATTCTAGAACATCTTTATAAGGTACATTTTCACTAAGATTCATTTAAATTGTGTTATGAATAAAGTTGAAAGGACTGCTTTGCAAACTCTGATCACTGAGAAATCTACTTACCTTTCTTTCCCATATCTGGATCTTGCCCCTCCATAATTCCTTTGAGTCAACAGCATTCCCGAGATCTTCTAAAGATACAACATCAGCACAAAGGTATTCTGCAATTTTCTGACAATTTCTACAATTAAAAGATTAAAATTAAATATAGGGTTTTATATTTTACTTAGATTTAATGGTTATAGTTTAGTACAAACCTAACGGGCAAAAATGCAAGTTCATATTGTTGCTTTTATCTACTTTTTAAAATATAGAATACCCATTCAGTCAGCCTCTGAGTGAGTTACTATCACCTATCACATCTTCATTTAATCCTAACATCCCCAGGCATTGAATTATTACCTTTAATATTACAGGTGAAGAAAGAGACTTTACCTTAATATTGCTGGCTTAAGTGTATCAGATGCACACACACACACAGACTCGCCGATTCCTTATCTTAAAAAAGAGAACTAATCTTCTAAGTTGTCCCCATATGCACTTATCACAGACTATCATGACTATTACCATTCCTGTTTCTCCCTCACTTCACTGAAAAAGATCAAATCTCACTTTAACTCAGCAGCATCTACTGCTGTGCTTGGCATAAAGTAAGTGCTCAATAAACACTTGGTGAATGAAAAAAATCATGAAGTTAATAAACCTAATTTGAATACTCTTTAAGGATCAAACTGTAATAGAAATTGATCCTTACTAAAATGTCATAAAACACAACAGTATATATTTATTTCTATATTGGCACAGAAAGCAAAAAAAAATTATAACATTATAAATTCAGTGTAACCATGTACCCATAGTATTCATTATGGTGCTCACTGGACAATACAATCCTACTTAAAAGCACACTGTGAAAATTAATGCAAATATATATATATACACACACACATATATATATATTTACATTGATAATATTTACTAAAAACTTAAACATACCAAAAGTACAAGTACACAATAAGAAAAATCTAGATTCTTTTCAATTAATCTCCATTCACAGTATGATATAAAACTATCTTGTCACATTAAAATTTTTTCAAATGCTGAGTCTATTTAACAGGATAACATATTAATTGTAAAAAAAGAACAAAGACAATAATCAAATGAACAAAGATACTTACATTTCACAATGATTTCCTGCTATGGTAATTTTTGCTGAATACCATTCTTTTAAATGTTTTAATGCTCCAACAGTAGGCAAACAGTCTTTTAATTTAGGAGGATCTTTGTCAGAGGGCAACAGTATTATGTCTATCATTGCTCTACCTAGAAAGAGAAAAAGGCATTTTTGTAATTTTCTAAAAATGTTAGATATGAACTACCTTAAAACAGTACCATGAACGATTGACTATTTATGTTTATCTAGAAGATAAAGGAAAATTTTATCTTTAATTTCTAAAATTCTTCAAAACAATACACATCTTTAGGAGCTAAAAAGTTTTAAATGTTCATCATTTGATTCAAAGCCATGTTATTTTGAAATAGTTATCATGTGCGAGAAAACAATTAACTACATCACAATTACTTGTCAATTATGCACCAGTGGTTAATTACACACTTTGCTCTCATCAATACTATTGTACTGAACAGAGAAAAAACAATCCTGTGCAATTTCATCACATTTTTCTATACTTAACTTTGTTATAAAAAGGGGAATGAATCAGTATAAAATTGTAATGTTCAAATAAATTCTCTTTTTAAAAAAGCAAAAACACTCAGAAAACGCAATTATACTGACATCACTGGTTCCTGAGAAAGATAACTTCATGAAACTTTACATTTTATAAAATTATGAACTTACTGAAGATGCAGAACAATCAAAATGAAACAGAAGCAAAATAAAAATTTGATAATGAAAGTATCATAATTTTCCAAACCAATTTTGTCTCATGTATATTTCAGTATTTTGAACTTGACACATTTTGCTTAGAAAAATTGATATTTTTTAATCTATGTGTTCAGTTATTTCCATGCAGAATCTTTTACACTAAAATACGATCTTGAGTATAAGGAGCAAAATGTGATCTATAAAACCCATGGTACTTGCATAGGCTTTATTCATCACTGTATACTCAGCTCCTACTACAATGTATGTCATATAATTGACAACAAATATCTGCTTAATAAATGGCCTTGAATAAGAAAAATATTCAAAGAAAGCTCTTTGAAAGTTTATTTGTGGAAGCAAATTATACCAAGCTTTAGATGCCAGCTACTTGATTAACACAAAGAAATTGGAATTTAAGACAAAAACAGTTTAAAGCTAGTATGATGCAGTATTCATAAAATATGATTCTATAAAATAGTTCTATAAAAAAATGCTAAACCAGTGGCTTCTCTTATTGCACAACTTTAAATTTGATGTATATAGCGATTTCACAGCATAAAAGAATGTTATTAAATTATCTAGGTGAAAGAACTTCTTCCTCCAGGAGTTGTGTATGGGACTAATGCTCTATAGAACATACTCTGTAAAACATTGGTATGTAGTGGAAAGATTCTTCAGTAAAAAGTAAATTAGGAAACAGATGGGTATTTCATTTTCTAAGTTCTAATTTTTGTCTCACTAAATAAAAACAAATAAGAGAACTCTAATGTCTCCAGAATGTATTTTATTAAAGTAGTAAACTATGTTTTGTATCAACTTCAATTAAGAAATTATTTTTCATTTTGAATTTCAAAGTTAAAAATAACAACCCAAGGATAAAGACTGAATTTATCACTCATAGAAAGTGTAAAATACGATACAAATTATTGAAAGCAGTCATAAAACATTACCAGGAGCAGGAAGTTTGTCTGATAACTGATGCAAGTTTTCTGCAGATTCTTCATATAGACTAAAATAAAAAGGTAAGTTAGAAAAAACAAAAACACATACACATTATATCTCATCATAAATACTAATGCATCTACATGCTAGATACTGTAAGGAATGTTAGATGCACTATCTCATTTGAGCCTCATGATAATTCCATGATGTACTACTATAATACTATTGTGGTCCTTAATTAAAAGAATTTCCCTAAAGTTACATAATTAGTAGGTGTGGAAGACAGGATGCAAATCCTGAGTTCAATTTCTCAGTCATACCCAAAAACAAACAATAACAAAGATAAGCTCCCTAAATTAAACGTATTTATTAAATAAAAATCATAACTAATAGACCAAGCATTATTTTGAATCCTAAAAGTAAGGTATTTGCTAAGTGTTTAATAACAGATACTGCTTTGCTCTGAATTGCATATAACAGCCCTGACTGGGAAATATAAAGCTCTACTCAAATTCTTCAAAATCTTTTAGTTTGATCCGTATGATTATTTTTTTCACAAAATAATTTATTGTAAATCATACAGGTATTTAAATCCTTTATTATAAACCCACCACTGTCTAAAAAACATAAGGCATCTATGATAAAGTATAGTATTCAAGCTCCCTCTTGTGGAAATAATTAGTAGGTCATTTACTAGAAATTCTTGCTTTTCGACTTGTCTATCGTCTTGTAGTAGTGGTGAAAAACATAAGGAATTATCAGTGATCTGAGGCTGGAAAATACCTTAGAATCCTTTGAAAGGATCTCAACGCTTTACAAATAAGAAAACAAAGGACCACAGAAGTTAAGTGGCCCCAAATCATGTAATTAGACACTAGTTATATAACCCCCAGTTCAAGGTTCTTTCCACAATTCTACAATGTCTCCCTTCGCAATCAGTACAAACAAATGTGACCTAAAAATAGAAAACTGAAACTTTTTAAAAATCTGTAACAATTTATTGAAATATAAATTGACTACTAAAGTAAATAAAAGTGGTTTTTCATAATGCAATATGGGAGATTAAAATAAAAGGCACTGATTATGAGTCAAGACAGAATATTTCATGAAAAAAATTATCACCACTTGTATCACCTGAATTAGCTTATATATTGTACAATTAAAAAAAAACACTAAAAGTGAACTCAATTACCTATTTAATCCTCAAAAACTCTTTATGAATTTTTAAGGTACTTAAAATACTGTAGATATATAGAAACTGAAGAAATAATATTTCAGCCTGAAATAGCAAAATAACAATAATAGTTTGCTTTGAATGCTCAGTTATTAATCTTAAAGGTTCTATTCATTACAAAATATAATTACCAGGCATATTAAATAAAATATCACTTTTTATGGTTTCTACAATTATGTAAGCTAAAGCTAAGTATTATCTGATTCCAATTTTTGCATTTTAAAGAATTTTACTCAAATGGCCCAAATCGTCTGATGTCTTCCAAAATGAAAAGTTGAAAGTGTCAAGTAACTAAAATCCTCTACTATAGCTGCTAAAATATCTAATCTTCATTCTATAGCTAAAATACTATCTAATGTGAACTAAAGACATTATAAAAAGCATATAAGCATACTCAGCCAAGGATAAGGACTCCCTGCTATTATTATCTTCTTCCTCAAAACACTCAACAGCACTCAGACATTCTTCGATATTGGTTTGTAGAAGATCTTCAATTTCATCTTTTTCTGTACCAAAATGTATCTCTTCCCAGTCAGAACTACAAAACTAATATATCAAAAGATGGCATTAAATGATGGGTCCGTGAAATTATTTATATTAATAAAGACACTCACTAATGACTATATTTCTAAATTTATATTACCTGATAAAATCCACATATGGCTTGCACTGCAAAGAACCACTTCTTGGAGCCAAGTACACCGCCCACTGAACAGGCTTGAAAAAAATTACACTTATTAGAAGAAAGACATACCACAATTAAGCAGATGTTATACTATATATACTTAGAGAATTATATAATTTTGATACATATAGGTAGTCCAAGTTATATCTGTAATATATCTACACTAATAAAAGAGAAACATGCAAATTGACTGTCCCTCTGCTATGCCCACCAGCCAATCAGAGTGATATGCAAATTAACCCAATAAAGATGGCGGTTAATTTACATACACAGGTCAGAGCATAGAAGGAAGCCAAGTGCTGCAGAAGGGAGCAAAGCAGCAAAGGGAACGGAGCTGAGGCAGCGGACACGGGAGGGAGCCGAGGCGGCAGAGACAGGATGGAACGAAGCGGCGGAGACGGGAGGGAGCGAGGCGGCAGAGACGGGATGGAACGAAGCGGCAGAGACGGGAGGGAGCGAGGCGGCAGAGACGGGATGGAACGAAGCGGCGGAGACGGGAGGGAGCCGAGGCGGCAGAGACGGGATGGAACGAAGCGGCGGAGATGGGAGGGAGCCGAGGCGAGGCGAGGCGGCAGAGACGGGAGGGAGGAAGGCACCAGAGACGGGATGGAACGAAGCGGCAGAGACGGGATGGAACGAAGCGGCGGATACGGGAGGGAGCCGAGGCGGCAGAGACAGAGACGGGATGGAACGAAGCGGCGGAGACGGGAGGGAGCCAAGGCACCAGAGACGGGAGGGAGCCAAGGCGAGGCGGCAGAGACGGGAGGGAGGGAGGCAGCGGTGAAGGGAGGGAACGAGGCAGTGGAGAAGGGAGGGAGCCGAGGCAGCCTTCTCTGCTTCACTCCGGCCTCAGGAAGCCCTATTCTTGCAGGAATCTTCCTGCAACAGGCCTCTAGTGTATATATAATGTGCATTATACACACACACACACATATATTCACTCACCATGAATACTTTATATATATATATATATACAGTATATATATATATATATATATATATATATTTTTTTTTTTAATTGATTTAAAAGGAAGGGAGGAAGGGAGAGGGAGAGAGAGATAGAAACATCAATGGTGAGAATCACCAGCTGGCTGCCTCCTGCACATCCCCAACTGGGGATTGAGCCCGCAACCTGGGCACCCGCCCTTGACTAGAATCAAACCCAGGACCCTCAGTCCACAGGCCGACCTTCTATCCACTGAGCCAAACCGGCCAGGGCTAAAATCTGTATTATTAATCATCATTTGAAACAATAAAATCTACCATAAAGATGTTGAAAAAAACCTTACTGTATTCCTATTAATTCACACAAAACTGTGCAAGTCATTTTAGTGAAAAGTATATGCTCTCTTCAAAGACCAAGAAGGTCTGGCTAGAAAGGGAGTAGTTAAAGAGTAACTATAACCTAAGACAAGGAGGATGCTCTCCTTGGAGCTGGAATATTAATAGTGGATATGAAATTAAGGCTCTCCCCAGGGTATTAGAAAAGCATGAATGTAGAGCTATGCACACAAATTAGATTCAATGGAGAGAGAAGCAGAAATGTAGCAATCGAGGCTTAATTCATGGAAGCTAGGAAAGATGCTAAGTGCCTATTACCAACTATATTCAGTTTGCACAGAGATGGCAAAAGATGTAATTGTGTCGCCTTCTGTCTTCCTGTGATAAATCCACTACATATTTTACAAAATAGATACTAGGAAGAGGGAATTGATAAAAGAAAAAAGAAAAAAAAGACAAAAGCACAGCAAAAAAAAAAAAGTGATAAAGCTGCCGTGATATTCAAGTCAAGTCTAATGTACTAGTAAATGGATTCTAAAAATAGCTACTGTGATTAAAAAATAAAAACAAACAAAAAAGAAAAGTTTATTTCCAGTACCAAGAAGTGCTGTGCTGGAGAAAAGAGGGATTCATGCTGTACTTACCAGGGAAAGTACTATCTTCTGGATTAATTGAAGCATAAATTCTTCTTTTCAGAAGGTGATAAACATTTGCTGCTGTCCAGTCTGAAAAGGAGATGACAGACTAACTCAATGGGCTCAAGAGTTACATAATCTAGGCCTATTCTAATTCCACCATAAGAGATTCTCAAGAACAACATGTTGAACGTAAAAGAAATGCCCTGCTCAAGTCTTGTTATATCTAAAGCAAGCGGAGAAAATAGGAAACGCTCCCGGTTTGTGCATGCTAGCCCGGTGACATATCCAAAATTCCCCCCAAAGAAAAATTATGCTGAAAAGGAAACCCTGTCACAGCACCCTATACACAACCACATACACTTCCTCCTCAAAATGCCTGCTTGGTCAAAACAAACAAATAAAAAGTGCAATACCGGGTCTAGACAGGAGCACCAAAAAGCAGTGCCTTCTCCAACAGTTCAAAATGTTTTAAAGTTATGATTTGTTTGTGTTTTTTGTTTTTACTTATGTGTTGGATGTCTCCTCCCATTAGGATGTAAACTCTAAGAGACTAAGAGTCTTTTCCATCGTGTTCTTCTCTGTACTGCCTGCCTTTGCAACACAAGAGACAGATATACCTATGGAATGCAAATATTTCCAAAAAGCAGAAATTCCATTACTAAAGCACAGAGGATGTATTCAATGAAATTTGTACTGTGGCCAAGAACTTCTGGGCGCCAAAATCTTGCATCCACCAAGGTGGCCCTGTTTTTCCAGGAAGATAATGAATCATGTCAGCCCTCATCCCTTCGATCCGCGATCGAGTCCCAGCTGCCCGGGACAACTCGATAGTTTCCTCTCCAGCAGAACTTGGTAGCAAACTCCCATCGCTTCTCCTCCCGCGACAGCCGTTCCCGCGCTTTCTCAGCCCAGCACTCACCCGGCTGCTTCTCGGCTCCCTCCGAGGACGACGACCCTGGCGGGCGATCCGGCTGCCCACCCACCGCCGAGGGCACTTTTCCTTGCCCCCAGATGACCAGGAGCAGGTACCGATCCATCGCTCCCCAGCTGCGCCCGGGTCTCAGCGCCCCGATCCCACATCAAAACAGCCGCGCGCCGCTGACGCACTTCCGGTTCCCTTCTGTTGAGGTCGGCTGGAAATGGTGTGCTCGCCGTTGGTTTTCCGCAGCTTTTCCAGCAAGGAGTGAATTTCGGGAGTTATTCTAGAGAGAGCCGCATGATTTCCTCCTTCGTAACGAAATAGCGGGCGTGGGAAGGCCGGAGGGGACCCGGGAAAAGCGGAGGAGCGGCCGAGTGCTTCCCGGCCCAGGAACTGTCCTGCTTGGCTGCGTGCGTTTCCCGCCGGGCCCGTAATGCCGCGGACCGCCCCGGACTCCGGAGACTGGAGGACGGCCCTGCGAGTCGGGTAGCATGTCGAGTTTCTCTAGGGCGCCCCAGGTGAGCTCGGACTCGGCGGGTTGATGGGATTCATTACACTGACAGGAGGAGTCAGTGGCTGCAGCTGACGTAGTGAAGCTGAATGGGCAGGAAGCCGAGTCCTTGGACCAGGGGGTACCTCTGGGAAGCACAGATGAGAGGGTCGTGGCCCTGGCCCCTACTTGCGCGTGTTCTCTTTGTATTCGTTCCCCCCTCTTTTCAAGCAGCCCTTTCCATGTCTTTTGTTCCCGGCAAGAGTTTTAGGAGAGAAGGTCAGAGAGGTAATAAGATGGATCACGTAGGTAGGGCATAGTAGATCATTGTCAGAATTTGAGTTTTTTTACTGAGTACAATGAGAACCTATGGGAGGTTTTCGAGCCAAGGCGTAACATGATCGCATGTGTTAAAGGGAGCACTCGGGCGTGCTGGGTTGAAAATAGACTGTTGAGAGGCCAAGAATCCCTTTGGAGGTGGTTGCTGTGATCCAGGCTAACCATGATGGTGGCACAAACCCAGGTACTAGTAACCGTGTGGTGTGAAAAATGGCCAGGTTCTATTTGATGGTGGCGCCAATAGGATTTCCTGGAGGACTGCGGGTGGGAGGGGTAGCAAAAGCAGCAGCAAGGGTTACTCCAGGGTTTTTGTTTCAGCTGCCAGGAGGGTGTGCCATCAGGTGAGGTGGGGAAGGCTAAGACGGGAGCAGGACTCAGTTGGAAGAGCAGTTCCGTTTTGTGTTTCAGTTTAAGTTGCCTCTGAGCCCAGTTCTGCTCCAAGTGTGATTCCTTCCTGGGACAGGTCACTGTTACCTGTCCCTGATGAGGTAAATACAAGAATTAAAATCAAACATTTTTAAACTTGGATAATAGTTTGGCATTGTGGCAGCATTTTAATTTTTTATCAGAGTTTTTTTTTCTTTTCTTTCTGTATTGGTCTACATTGGATTGGGGGATTAACTAGTCTTTTGCTACGTGTGGTTTAAGCAGCACTGAAGTGCAGATGTTAAGAGGGCAGCCGGATCCAAGTGTAGAGTTCAGGGAAGAGGTCCAGGCTAGGGATGTGAATTTGGGAGTCATCAGCAAACATGTGGCATTTGAAGGTATAGGTCTGGATGAAGTCTTTGAGGGAGTGAGTATAGAGAAGAGAGGAGGGCTTATCGCCGAGTTCGCGGACATTTCAACATTTCAGAGGCAAGGGATAACGGGACAACCAGCAAAGTGGGGGGGGGGGGGGGGGGGGGACACACCACCAGGTGGTGTCCTGGAAGCCAAGTGCAGAAATACCCAGGAGAGGGAAATGATCATCTGTATGGAGGACTTAGAATTGACCTATGGATTTAGGAGCATGCAGGTCATGGCAACTTTGGCAGGCAGTAGAGGGGTAGTGATAGGTGTGGGAGAACAAAAGCCAGACTGGAGTAGGTTGAAAAGAGAATGTGGAGAGACAAACTTAATAAAGAAAAAGGAAAGGAAAGAAATGAGGCAGTTGCTGTTGGAGAAGTGAGGTCAGGAGTTGCTTTCAAAAAAAAATTACCATGGAGAATTGCAATCATCTATAAAAATAGATGTCACCCACTATCAGAAAACTCATAGCCAATGTAATTTCATCTGTACCCTCATTGACTTCCTTCCCTTCTTATTGAATTTGAGGTCAAGAAGAGACTCATTATTTCATTAGTAAATATTTCAGTATGTTCTCTACAAGACAAGGATTTAAGAAAATCACAATATCATTTATCAAAGCTAAGTGAAAAATTAATTAATATCATCAAATATCCAGTATGCTTAAATTTCCAATTTTATCCTATATCGTGTATTATACAAATACATAATATTTCTACAGTTTGTCCCTGTGGATTAGGATCCAAAAATGCAATAAGTTGTTGTTTTGGTAAGTCTCTCTTAATAAATAGGTCCCTTTTCCTTGCAATTTGTTGAAGAAACAAGATTGTGCTGTAGAATTCCTGCTATTTGAATTGTTTTATTAGTTCATAAGCTGAGAATGGCAGGGAAAGGATATGGGCTAGAAGCTGTCTTTATTTACAAAACAATCAGAAGTTTCAATTAAAAATACAATAGCATTTACAGTGGCATCAAAATATATAAAACAGGGATAAATCAGACAAAACATATTCAAGGGGAACTAAATAGAGACTAGAAAAATGAGAACAGGAGAAAAACAGAATTGGTAGCAGTTTTATAGGCTGATTTGAGGTTGTGATTATTAAGTTGAAAATGAAACCAGTAGCCTAGTTGTATTTTTTCCCGCATCGTGTAGCTGCTTGTGTATGTGCATAGAGGAAGCATCTGGTCGAGATCTTTCTGGGCTGTAGGTGTCCTCGAGTTTGAAGGCGCTGAAAAGATGGTGATCTATGCCTAAGGCAGCCTAAATATGTCTAAGGCAGTTTTTTTTTTTTTTTTAAATTTACGTTTATTCAGCATCATTCATCTATACTTTTCCAGCCACATTCTGCTATTTAATTTTCTCTTTGAATTAAACTCCTGAATAGTCTTCAGTTCCTAATTCACCACACATCTTCTACTTCATACAGGCTTTTTATTACCCTTCCAAGTTTTCTGCTATGCCAGATAAAAAATGTAAGTCATAATGTAAAGGGAAATAAATATTTGGAATATTTTTAATAAAGCATGATGCATATTACTAATAGAAAAGCAGGCAGGAAAAATTATCGTATTGTTCTTTGATGATATATAATAATTATTTCTATTTTAATTAGAATTTTATTTGTTTCCTCTTCTGTTTTTCCAAGCAATGGGCCACTTTTGCTCGAGTTTGGTATCTCTTAGATGGGAAAATGCAGCCCCCTGGCAAACTTGCTGCTGTGGCATCAATTAAACTTCAAGGATTGCATAAACCTGTGTATCATCAACTGAGTGAGTATCATTTAGACCTGTAAATTAACCACAATTTACATGCCAGAATAGAATCTTGAAGTAGTTTGAGTGAGCTGCTCTTAAGGACCTCTTTTTTTCCTGATGATCGTTTATTTCATTCTTACTAAAAACCTACTAGAGCACTAAAATGACTCTGGCTTATTCATAGGAAAACCATACAGACCAGTTTGCCTGGGACAACCCCAGTTTATACCATTGCCCCAGGAAAATTATCAGTGGCCCCCTCTTTCACACTCAGAAATATCTTGATTTGGGCTATAAATTATATGTTAATTTCTATCCATGTTTCTTCACGCAGCAATATACATTTGAATGGACAGGTTTTAAAAACAAGCAAATAAGTTTGCCCTCTCTTCTAAAAACCTTTTCCTCCAGAAAGGTATGTAGAACTAGCTAGGCATGGAAAGTTTACTTTTTGCTTTTTTAAGTTAATAAATTTGCTTTTCTGTATCCTTTTTCCAAAACAAAACAATTTGCTTTCATACTAAAAGACTTCTGCTTATTATAGACTAGCGGCCCGGTGCACGAAATTTGTGCACAGGTAGTGTCCCTAGGTCTTGGCCGGTGATCAGGGCCGATCAGGTTCCCCACCTCCCCGCCTCCCCGCCTCCTCCTTCCCTCACTGCCTCAGCGCCCCGCTGCCACTGGTCACCCGCCATGTTCCGCACTGCTGCCTGGTCGTCAGCGCATGTCATAACAAGCGATTGAACTCCCAGTCTCACAGTCAAACACCTGAGGAGACACTTTGCATATTAGCCTTTTATATATATAGAGATTATATATATAGACTAGTAGCCCATTGCACGAAGATTCGCACAATAGGCCTTCCTTCCCCTGGCTGCTGGCACCGGTTTTCCTCCGGCACCCAGGACCCAGGTTTTTGGTCCAGCCACAGCGGAGAAGCCAAGTTTCTTCAGTCTTCAGTCTTCAGTCTTCACTCCGCGCCTGCATATGCAAATTTACTGCCATCTTTGTTGGGTTAATTTGCATAGTCACTCTGATTGGCTGGTGGGCATAGTGGAGTGACACCAATTTGCATGTTTCTCTTTCATTAGTGTAGATAATTTTGATTGACTTCACTTAACCTAGGCCAGTGATGGTGAACCTATGACACATGTGTCAGAGGTGACACATGAACTCATTTTTTTGGTTGATTTTTCTTTGTTAAATGGCATTTAAATATATAAAATAAATATCAAAAATATAAGTCTTTGTTTTACTATGGTTGCAAATATCAAAAAATTTCTCTATGTGACACGGCACCAGAGTTAAGTTAGGGTTTCTCAAAATGCTGACACATCGAGCTCAAAAGGTTCACCATCACTGACCTAGGCTCATCACTGTTCAACCTGCTGGATCCAGGTGTCATTCCTCATCTTGCTTGACCTGTCAACAACATTTGTTGTGGTTGATCACAGTTTTAATTACCTTTTTATTTTGTATCATGAAATATATATACAAAGAGATAGAGAGAGATGTATCTATCTATATAAATATAGGTATTATTTTAAAGAAAATTAATGATGATAATGAACTCAATACCTATGCACTCAGTTTCCAACTTATTTTTGCGATTATAAACAACATTGCTTTCAATATTCTTGTACCTTTTTCCTGGTGCTCACATGGAAGAGTTTATCTGACATCTCAGTAAAACAGGAATTTCTGGGTTCAAAGCTGCCTGGGAAGCTAGCTAGTCTTTATGCCAATGTCCTCTCCTGCCAACAGCATGTAAGTTTCTGTTACTCCTCATCTTTAGTAACGCTGAATATTTTCATTCTTTATAATTTTGAACACTAGATGTGAAATGCTCTCTCTTAGTGGTTTTAATTCACATTTCCCTGATTACAAATGGAGCTGTCTCTTCATTTGTTTATTAGCCTTTTATCAGTTCCTCCTCTGTGAAATATCTGTGCGTGTCTTTTGCTCTTTTTTTTAAACTGGGCTGTTTATTCTTTACTTTTTTCTAATTTTTATTATGAAAGTTCTAGCTCTTTCAGAAATGTTCAGTATTGTACAGTGAATTCTTTTATGCCCTTAACTTGGATTCCATAGTTCTAAACATTTTATCATATATCTTTTACTCAGTCATTTGAAAACAAGTTGAAGATGTTATTATTATCTTCCCTACATACTCTAGCATATGTCCCTAAGTAAAAATATATTTTCCTGTGTAACCAAGTGCTGTTATAAGCAAATAAATAAGTTAATTATGCAGTTTAATATCCAGTGCAGTTTCAAAGTTCCCTAGTAGTCCCAAGAATATTTTTTTTAACTATTACTTTTTTTGAACTATGGTCCAACTAGGATTATGTATTGCCTTTAGTTATGTTTTGTTTTAGTGTCTTTTAATCTAGTATAATCCTTCTCTTCTTTGTTTCTTACAATTAATCTTGTGAGGAGTCCAGGCTAATTTTCATGGAGAGAACTTTTTAAAAACACATTTTTCACCGTTTTTCTGGGATGCCATTCTTCCTCTTTCTTCACCCCTTATTGATTCCATTTTCCCAGTTCCCTTTTGCTCTCTTCAACTTTCTGAACTCCCGGTCATTTTTCTCCCACTAAAAATTGGGTGTGTCCCAGAGCCCAGTCCTTGGACTTCTTCACATTCTCTATGTGATCGCATTCAAGCCTCATGCTTCTAAATACAGGGTGGGGCAAAAGTAGGTTTACAGTTGTGAATACGTGAAACCCAGTTTATTCTTGTATTATTATTTATAAATTATTGTATTATTTTCATACTGTAAACCTACTTTTGACCCACCCTGTATAATCTCTATGCTAATGGCTCCCAAATTTATGTCTCCAGTTTTGACCCTTTTTCTATATTGCAGACTCACGTAGCCAAATTTCTACTCAGAAAAATCTTGGGTGTCTAATAGACATCTGCAATAGAATAAGTTCATTTGAAGATGTTTTACTTCATGATTTTCTCCATCCCGACCAACCTGTTTCTTCCATTTTTTCCCATCTCAATTAATAGCATCTCTTCTTTTTTAGTTGTTCAAGTTAGAAGTCTTTGCTTTATCTCTGACTCCTTTACAGTGATATCAGTAAAGTGATAAACAAGATCTCTTAGGTTGTCTTTGTAGAAATGCAAATGATGCAAAATTTGGGGGAAAGTGGAGTTAGCAGTAGTGACCTAATTTCCTTCTTAAGGTATAGCACTTACCTGTCACTAAATGAGGTTCTGCTTCCTGAAAAGCAGGCCATTATTGCAGAAGTTTTTCTTACACACTGATGAGTAATCATTTTGCTGGAGCACCAGAACTTTCCTGGTTGCCTGTCAGGCCATCCCTTTCTAGGAGAATCACTTTTTTATGAAATTAGAAATTTACATTTTTAAAGGTTGAATTGTAGTTTTGTTTCACACTAAATTTAATATATAACTTACATCAGCAAAACTTGCCCTGTCCACAAGATGTCACTAAAATCAAAACTTAAAGAAAACAGTTTTCAATTTATAAATATGTTGTGTATTTAGTTTATTTCTAACATTTATTGGCTTAGCCAGTATTTATTAAGCATGCATTATTTGCTCATAATCACTGCAAAATGTTTATTTGAAAAGTGACATTCAGTTTTCTGTCTGAAATACATCAGTCTGTTGCATGCTTCAGTGTCTCTGGTTCTATTGTCTTATTTCTTTAAATCTGTTAAGGACTTTTTAGGGGGAAAAATTTATCATGCTCTTCTTAAAGTAACCCAGTTTGCCCATTTTTCTCTTGCTCTTCAGTTAAGTGTCAATCTATTTTAAATGTTACTTATTGTATTTTTTTAATTCTGCCATCTAATTTTGCAAATAAATTCAGCTTCAATGGAAAGTTAAAGATTCCATTTTCCCTCTAAATAGGTGTCATGGAAAGATCCTGAACAAGGTTTAAATAATCTGGTGTGTGAGCTTTTGGCAAATCACTGAATCTTAATGGGCCTTAGCTTCTTCAACTGTAAATGTCTGGCTGAAAGCTAAGGTATTTCAACATTCTTTGAAACTATATAGATATCTTGTCAACCTCTTTGTTATTTTGGTTTATTTGACCCCTACTGCCTTAGTAACCTACCATGTGTCACTTTTAGTAACGTTAGTCACTTAATTCACCAAATACTATCAAACTATCCTTTTCAACACACTAACAGCAAGCTTCCCAGGTTTTCCCTTCACACCTCTGGATTCCCTTTCAGTCTAGTGAAGAAAGCTCATCTTTATCCTCTTTTCTTTACCCTTGTCCTGTATAGACTATGAACTTCTCTCAGAAAATTATCTCATTCAAAGTCTAAGTTCTGTATAGAGTCACATACTGCAATATTTAGTTTTCATATACAATGCTTATTTATACTTTTTATTTTTTCAGTGGTGTTTTTCTTAATAAGCTTCTAGAATCTTTTGAAGTTTATTTTTTCTATTAGAAGAATAAGCATTTAATAAATGTTTCCAATTACTTGATCTTGTCCCATATAGTAACTCGTGAAAACTTACATGTTAACCTTTGTGGGGGTTTTTGTTTTTTGGGTGTTTTTTTTTTTTTTTTTTTTTTAGATGAACAGCCGAACTTAGGGGTACTTTTCACTGGAAAATTAGTCTAATACATATATTTTAATTTTCAGATCATCCCACCTGTCTAATATGAATGCAGAGTTGAGAGTGACTGTTTAAATTTAACAAGTTAAATATGGTTGGGAAAAACATTGGGTTAGGAGTTAAGCATAAGATCATAGTACTCTTTTCTCTACCTTTGAGAAGAATAATAAATTGTGATGTTTTACATTTGTTTTCAATTTACCTATTGGCAAAACATATGCTTTTTATAACTACATGCATATTGTTTTCATTTTCTCTTCTGTTTTTAAGGAAAAATTTATACTAGATATTTAAAAGCATTTAATATAAATACAATTTTAGTGAAGTGAAATTATTAATAGAAATAACAATAATTTGCCTTTAAAGATGTACTGTTTATATTGGCATCTTTATTAAATCCTCTTTCACCTTCCAGTGTTGAGATTTTCCAAATGGCTAGCCAACTCTTTCTATACTTAGATGTTATATAAAGCAGTAACAGAAATCCATTCAAGAATGTTGATGTTGTACTGTGACTTCCTTTATATTTTTAATGTGTTGTTTAGACTTTGGTAAGCTTTATAAATAACCAAGGTCACTTTTACTTAAAGGTTTTTCATATAAAAGTCTTATCTTTTTTCTTTTTAAATCTAGGTGACTGTGGTGATCATGTTGTCATAATGAACACAAGGCACATAGCATTTTCTGGAAACAAATGGGAACAAAAAGTATACTCCTCACATACTGGGTAAGATGATGCCATTGTCACAGAAGATAGGCGGTTGAAATGTATTACTTTAATAACACCATTGATCTTATTTAAAAGAAAAATGCCTTTTCAAAATTTGGCATTTAAAAAAATACTAATTTTACTCATGGTAATGTATAATTTACTCAGTCAAAAAAACACAAACCTGGACCAAATCACAGTTATTACTAACAGAATTTGTTTTTCCTTGAAACTTTTCACATGAACTTTTCCAATCAAGATTATTCTCGTTTTTTAGCCAATATTCTCACTTCTTTCTTTCTGCTTCCTATAATTCATCTGCTATTTCCAGAACCATCATGAACATCTGAAAGTACTTGAGATGTTTTAGTGGCGAGCAAAATCCCAAGTTTGGAAGATACCTAAAATCTCCACCACATCCCTTGGAGTTATAGGTGTCTCTGCCTATGTTTGAATAATACCAATCTCATAGCTCATAAGACAGCCCATTCATTCCACCTTTGAAGTGCTCTAAATTTCAGTAAGATCTTTATGCTCTTGAGTCATAATCTGTTTTTTTCCTGCTTTCACATTGGTTTTATTTCTTCTCTTTGAGACAAAGTGAAATAATTGCATCTCTTCCACATAACATTCTTCAGATAATCTTGAGACCATCATCAGCAGGTGCCCACTGGTTTATCTTTTCCTTGGGCTTTAAATATCTGTGGTTCCTTCCGGTGCTTTATATGGCTTCACTTCAAGTATCCCCACTGTATCGTGGTCACTCTTTTCTAGATAGAATCATTGCTTTTTGTTTCTCTGTTTCTGTTGACCCTTGACTTACACTTTGGACACAGTATTTTTATTATGCTCCTAATATTTTATTGCAATTATGTATTCAGCATTTATCTTTCTAGTTGTAAAAGTTTTAATGCATGCTAATGTTAGAAAATACAGAGTTTAGAGAAGGAACTAAAAATCATCTTCATCCATTAACTAAACATTTTAATATATATGTTTATATCTTTTTTTATTTAATTTAAATGTTATTTTCAGTCACTGTGTAGTAATGCACAATATAATTTACCCTACTTAATCATTGCTCTGTTTTTGAAATTAAAATTTTGACTTTTATAAAGAGCTGGAAAACAAGCCAACTGAGTACTGCATTACTCAAGTTGTTCCCCTCCTCGGAATTTTAGTATAAGGTCCAAACTTCTGAAATATAATGTAAATGGGATTACGGTTTAGAAGTTGCCATCCTAGTTTTAAAAATAGATAATCTTTAGTGTAGAAAGTGTAAAGTATTTTTTCCTATGGAGAGAAAGAATACAAAAATAGAAGTCTAGCCCTGGCCGGTTTGGCTCACTGGATGGAGCATCGGCCTGGGGACTGAAGAGTCCCAGGTTCAGTTCCGGTCAAGGGCATGTACCTTGGTTGTGGGCACGTCCCCAGTGGGGGATGTGCAGGAGGCAGCTGATCAATGCTTCTCTCTCATCGATGTTTCTAACTCTCTATTCCTCTCCCTTCCTCCCTGTAGAAAATCAATAAAATGTGTAAAAAAAAAAAGAGAGAGAGAGAGGTAAAATCAGTTACCTAATATTAGACTGGTAGCCAGTAGGAAATCTAGATTCCAGACTTTAGTCTGTGGTATTCAAGTGACTGAGCTACCTCTAATATTATCCCAAATAAACACATTTTTAATTTCCAATTTACACATTTTATATATATTTTTTATCTGAACACAATGAAATATTTTATTACTTAGGGGCAACATATAACTCTTAGTTAATAGGAAATAGAATCATGGCCTCTTTAGAGTTTGAACTTTATTTCAGAACCAGATAGTCTACCATTGTTTTCCCCAAACTTGACCACTAGCTTATGCAGACGTTTACTCTAATTTGGCAGGGAATTTTTACCATTGCTTTTCTTTCTTAATTCAAACAGTGATAAACTACCCCCAGATAAATGAATGAGTGAGTGAATGAGTGAGTGAATGAGGAAATGAGTGAATGATGAATAACTAAATTCCAATAAAAATATAAGTAGTTATGCCAAGAAATTTTCCAAGATGTGGAAGTTTTTGTGAAATAATGATGGTTTCCCACATAAAATAATAGTATTTCATACAGCATAGACTACTACTTAATTTTTAAGACATTAATGAATAGCATAGTTTCCAGAAGCGAGTATAATTTCATAATAAAAATAGTTTTATATTATAAGAGAATATTCAAGAATACTATACCATAGCCTACTCCCAGCTTTAATGTCTTTGCTTCTTTTTGCTTCTTTTAATAGCTACCCAGGTGGATTCACACAAGTAACAGCTGCACAACTTCACCGAAAGGATCCAGTGGCAGTAAGTCTGTTGGATTCCCCCTCCCCGCCTTGGAAAAAGCAGACATTGCTTTTTCAGTCTTTTTCCTATTCTAATGTAGCTAGCATTCAAGACTATAAATTCTTCATATTAACTCTACCACACAAGCTTTGATAAGTATTATTATCATTCAGTTCTATATATTTTAACATTACTATTTTGCATGTTTTGCATTTAGTCAAAGAATTGTGATGCTTTTTTAAAAATTTCTTGACACCTGCTGAATCACCTAAAATATATGTTTGCTGAAAATGTCTTGGGGAGAAAGATATATATACTACATGTTTATCCATTACAGCAAATATGTTAACTATATTCTAATCTTATATTCTTACTGACATTTTTTGTTCACTTAATTTATTGATTATCTGAAAGCGCTATATTAAAATTTTAGTTGTAGATTTGTTAATTTTTTTCTTGTAGTTCTCTCAGTTTTTGCTTTGCATATTTTGAAGATTTAGCAGTAGAAAATTTTAAGTTTGGAATTATAATCTTTCTAAATAATTGATGAGGGTGTATGCACCTCTTAATCTCCAATAATGCTTTTTAACCTGAGGTCTACTTTTTAAAATATTAATGTAGCTATACAAACCTTCATTTGATAGTATTAGCCTAATATAACATTTTATAGTTTTACTTTAAATTTTACTGCGCTGTATTTTATTTTTTCCTCACTTTCTTACCTTCTTTTGGATTGGTAGAGTTTATTAGAAGTCTAAGATTAGTCAATATATTTACTTTCCTTCAAATCAAATCAAGGAAGTCCTTAGAAGGTTTTTAATACCCACTTTCCCTCACAATCAATATGTTTTCCCTATTCTTAAGATATTTTTAAATTAAATTTATTAGGGTGGCATTGGTTAATACAATCATAAAGGTTTCAAGTGTACATTTCTGCAATACAAGATTTGTGCATTGCATTGTGTGCCAACCACACAAAGTCAAGATTTTTTTAAATCCTTTCAATTCAACATTCTTGTTATTATTTTATACAGTTTTTTTTTTTTTTTATGATTTTCTTTGCTAACAATCCCTTCATATAACTCAGCCTTCATTCTGGGTTTAATTTCCTTCTTAAGGAAACTTTACTATTTGTTTCTTTTTTAAACTTTGATAGTACACCATAACTGTTACACAAATTATAGTTTTAATATTAAAATGTTTTTAAAATTAAAGTTTATATATTAATCAGGTATCCTCACTGAACACTAGGAGGCAGTATAATTCAACTTTTTGATGTTAAGAATTTGGCATTGGGTAACATAGTAATTTCATTTTTTTTTTTATATAAACAAAGAATGAAATGTATTACAAAATGTTGGATGGAGGCTTGGAAACTATTTCAGAGTTAAATCCATTTGAATTATCACCTCGTTAAAAGATCTTAATTTTTTTTTAAGTCCTAATTTTGACTCTGTGTTGGCATATTAAGGAAGAGGTCAATGATTTTACTTCCACTACCTGTCTGGAGCAATGATTTTTTCCCAGCAGACAATTTGCGAGTCAGTACTTAGTGTATGTGACTTGTAAGAGAATGTGTTTCATAGTGCATTCTTCTGGTATTCATGGAATAGTATTTATAAAATACATAAGTAATACATTTAGTAGTTATTACTAGGTTATTAAATATTTCAAAGCACTTTAAATCACTTAGATCATTCTAAACTCAAATAAATATATTGATTCAGCCCTTTCCTTCTATCCTTTATCCCTCTGTCATATATTTTAGTTTCTTTAAGAGCTTTTGTGTACTTACGGTTTTCTTCTAACATGGTTCCTTTCTTATGTTTCTCCACCTCCTATAACTAGTTAATAAAGTTATTTTGTGTGCATTAAATGGCACATGCCCTGGGTTACCAGTTATCTGAGAAAAGTGATATTTTTAAACTCACCTTGTTTTATCTTTTTCACTTTCTGAATTCCTTAAAGCATTTGCTTAAGTCTATATAGCTAGAATTACTTGATTGTCTGTGCATGTTGTGTCATATTTATTTGGGGGATATTTATGTTTGTGTATTTGTCTTTTTCTCCTCTCAGCTTATAACCTTTTCACATTTTCTCACTTTTTCTAAAGTAGACTGTTATGTTTGCATTTTTTTATAGAGTAAATTTTTAAAATACCAACTTGTTAATTCCAGTAAGTACAACTAAATTGTTTAAGAACATGGAAGCCAAATGCCATGTAATCCTACTAATGGAGTGAAATTGCTAAAGGGATGATTTTCTGAATATGTAATGACTTGCTGACTTGCTTATCCCGAAAAGTTGCTGAATAATTCTAACATTGTCAGTTTCTACAGGAGACTTTTTAAAACATTAAACATTTTAAAGGCTAGTTTCTAGATCGGTGCTGTCCAGTAAAACTCTCTCTCTACCTTGACAGAAAGTTCTGTGTCTGCACTGTCAAACATGGTCACCCCTAGCCACAGGTGGCACCTGACCACTTGGAAAGTGGCTGTGTGGCTGAGGAACTGAATTTTCTATGACTTAATTTTAACAATATGTTAATATTTAAATAAGGTCTCCAGAACATAAAGTGCTAACAGAACTAAGCTAGAAAATAAATGGAGAATATTTATGAGATGTCATTAGCTTTTATGTGTAGAAAGGTTTTGATGAGAAAATAGAAGGAACAGAAAATCCTTTTATAGTGAAACCCTGTTCTAACATGAATTGTTTTAAGGCATTTAGCTTTAATGCATGTGAAATTATATCCTTGAAATGTGAGTACAGCTGATGAAAATCTATACAACACTCCAAATGTCTCCATCAGCAGTTTTGTGAAGAACTCACCTTATATTACTATACACTGTATGCCAGGAGGCCCCGGGGAGAGTATGGAACACAGGGTGACACTGTGTGGCCTTCTCTTGACAAAACATACATGAAATCACTCTCAAACCAACAGTGAGGATAACCATCAAAGGGGAAAAGTAAATCATGGAAAGGTTAGTTTGCCATATTGGTAATGGGTTTGGTAGAGAAAAGAGACTTTTTGTCTTCCAGGTAAGTTATGGAGAGAAACACATGAAGGTGTGATTTCCTGTACTGTGTGTCTGTTCTGGGAGTTCGACTGCCTGGTTTGAATTTGCGCATGGACACATATAGATACACTAGAGGCCCAGCGCACAATTAAATCGTGCGCATGTAGGGTCGCCTAGCCTGCCATCAGGGCCATGTCCGCGCCCTGCAATGCCTTGCATGGTCTGCGGACACTGCCGGCACCCCGCCCCGCCCACCGCGAGAGCCACTGCTCATTTGGTCATGATGGCCACAGGCCTTTTATGATATAGATTATATCAGGGGAATTCTATAATCTCACTACATCTGTTTCCTCCTCTGTGAAGTGAGGCTCAGCATTGTAAAGAAGATCAGATGTAATGAATGCACTGACCACTATACACAGAGCAAGTTCCGTGAATGTTAGCCATTACCACTGTTGCAGATTTGCGACCTCTTAAGTCAGTGCCATAACTGTCTATATGGCCAGGCTTAGTGTTTGAGGTGGGAACTTCCTGCTCTAGTCACTACGCAATAAATATTTGAGCCATAGGTGTTTGTAAGAGCTTAGAGAACTTCTTAGTCTAGCTAAAATTGGCACACAGATAGGATATTTTTAAATCTTCCTTTTGTCCTTTCTGCTAATTAAAAAATAAATTAAACAAATATAGAGCCTAAAGAAATAGTAATGTGTAAATAGTAAAAGTTCCTTTTCTATTGCTGCCACATAACGACTCTGGTGTCGGTTTGTTTCCTTTCATATACCTATTGTCTTAGCCCACTGGTTTCCATCACTGTCTAATTAAATCTGCCTTCTTGATATCACAAGTCATATTTGTATGTTACTGATTCCCAACTATGTGTCTTTCCAGATTGTAAAACTAGCTATTTATGGCATGCTCCCAAAAAACCTTCACAGGAGGACCATGATGGAGAGACTGCATCTTTTCCCAGATGAGGTAAGTCAGTGGTCATTGGTAACGACACTTATCCTCAATTAAATACTTTCTCTTCTTTTAAAATAATTGTGGTCCTTCAACAAAGTATAAATGGCCTTTATGAAATCACAGGAATTTAAGAACTTCTCTTTCTGATGATACTGTCGCTTTTTTTATATAAACTATAATTTCTAAAAGACACAGAAGTAATATTATTTATCCCAGTTTTAAGGTAGCCAGGTTTGAGTGGGGATGTTTTAAGTATTCATGGTAGTTCAGTTGAACAGTAAATTACTTAAATAATTTCAGACTATAAAATAAATGAGCCCATTTTCCCAAGAATGGATTGTTAAATATTCAAAAGCTTGACAACACTTGTTCTTGTCAAGGCATTCATGCATTGCTGATGGAAGTATAAAATGGTGCAAACCCACAAGGAATCTGGCAACTATGAAGCATTTCATAAAATACATAAAGAGATTCCTGCTCAATCCAGCAATCTCATTTTCAGTCTGAAAATATACAAGGTTACTATTTTTACATGATTTATTATAGTAAAATAATAGAAATAAATAAATGCTTACTCATAGAAAATTGGATAAACTTTGATATCCATTCAGTTGAGAACTATTGTAAAAATAGAAGGACAAACATTGTGACTTGATAATTAATGTTTTTTCCAGGATATATTATTAAGTGAAAAAAAGCAAGGTGACAATGTAGATAACTTACCACCTTTTGCATGCATATATTCATATGAATGTTTACACACATATCTACTATATCTGCTTTTCGCATAAAGAAATACAGGAAGAATAAATGAGAAAATGAAGTTGGCTATTTACTGGCACATGGGCACAAAGAGATGAAAGGAATAGGGAAGGAAATGAGAATTGGGGAGGAGAATACCTTTTAGATAATTTTTTTACTTTAACCTTTTAAAAATTTTATATATCTCTATATATATAAATATATATAAAAGACTAATATGCTAAGTGTCCCTCCGACCGTCTGTTCGGTTGCTATGACACACACTAACCATCAGGGGGAAGACGCTCAAAGCAGGAGCTGCCGTGACACACACTTTACAAAGGAATAGCACCACAGACCTGGTGCTGACAAAGCAACACTCGGCTTCCCCCAAGTGGGACACAGGCCCCACCACCACCCCGGAGCAGCACCCCGCCAAATCACAGCCAATGCTGTCGAGACCCCATGGCACAAAATGCGGCCCACAGCCCAGAAACAGTCGCTGTGGGCACCAGGTAACGACGTCACGTAGCAACGCCGGACTTCCTCCCTAGTGACTAGCCTCCTTGCAATTTCTTCAGCCCAGGAACACAACTTGCTTTATAGCCAGGTGCAAACATTTTACAGTTTAACCAAATGTCTGTGAGGCGTTTTCCCATGCCTCATCTCATTTGATCCTCACAGAAGTCCTGGAGTAGGTAGATAGGGACTTGGTAGAATCTTATTTTCTTTTCATTAGCCAGAAAATGGAGATTTAGAAAGCTTAGAAACTTGACCCGACTGAAAAGAAGTAAGAAATGGTGGACCTTGAAAATGACTTCAGGTTTTCTCATTGCGCAGAATATAGTCAAACACTGCTGCAGTTAAATATTTTACCCTTTGTTCTCCCTGCGTGATCTACAATAATAATCTGCTTCATGTTGATATTTACTGCTGTGTTGCTGACAATTACCTGAAAGAGAAGTTGGGGTGCTTCCTGGGCTGGAAAAAGTATAGCTAAATCAGAAAGCAGATCTAATTAAACAAGTTTATTCTATATCTATAAAAGGCTAAGTTGATTTGCGCACGCACGATACATAAAAAGCTCTCGCGGGTGCCAATCTCACGTGTGTTTTGATCTGTCATTGTCGATCGTAAATTTGGTTGACACTTCTATTATAAAGGGCGAATCTATTATAAAGGGCGAATAACTATATTAAAATATTTCTTCTAATTAATTTCCTTTATTGTGCATGAATCCATGCACCAGGCCACTGGTTCATAAAATAAAATGACAATATGACCAGAAGTAAGCACAGCAATGCCCAGATCTTATTTTCTAAATGCTGTCCCCTGTTGAAAAGGAACCTTGTTCCCTTCTGATTCTGAATGAGAAAAAACACAAACTTATTACAGAGTATACTCATGCAAAATACTAAATAGTAAGTAGCAGAAGGTAAGGCAATACTCAAACACCAATAGAGAAATACCAAAATAAACATAAGAGGTAGGTTGAATTGGTGCCTACTGACCACGTATATGACTGTATTAGCCTTAAGATGAATAGTAGTGATAAATATGTTGAATAGAAAACAAAAATCTATGAGCCCACAAAATTTTTTTAACTTGTTATAATTTGTCTTCTCCTTTCTGGAAAAGGAGAAAACTTTTCTCTAGAGAAGAATGTCATCTAAAAAAATGTAGGAATGATACTGCATTTAAAAGGTGACCATTATCAGCATATTCTATAGTCATCAGGAAAAATATTATCGTAGAACAGGATATTTTGTTTCAAGACATCATTGCACAGAGGAAAGATACTATTTGAAGAAGAAAAGATAAGATACTTTTATATTAAGTATCTGGTAGACAGACACCAACCATAATCAAGAGGTCAACGTACCATCATTATGGGACAAACTGACATCATGTTTTTTTCTGGAGTGTGGATTACAAGTTTGTAGCACTGGAAGTAGTAGACCCAGTACTTGCATTCATCAGACGAAAAATTGTGAGAATGAACCGAGGCAGTGCCTTTTTGAAGTTGAAAGAAGGGAAAAACATTAAACTATACATATGTGTGTATATTTAAATAGAACTTAGTGACTTCATAGTTTTCAGAATTGAAGACATTTAATTTATCATAGAAACATGTCAAGATTTAAATATGCAATATATTACTATATGGTAATTTCATTGATCTAATGTATTTTTCAGGGATTTTTCCAAATTTTATTTTTTTCTCACTTTATAAATACTGCTTTTGTTTATTTAATACTAACTATTACTAATTTATTATTAAAGAATATGTTTTAAGAAAACTTAAGCCTAAATTTTCATTTAATCCAGGATATACCAGAAGATATTCTTAAGAATTTAGTGGAAGAGCTTCCACAACCACGAAAAGTACCCAAACGTCTAGATGAGTACACACAAGAAGAAATAGAGGCTTTCCCAAGATTGTGGACTCCGTAAGTCTTTCTCTTTCCCGTCTTTGTTTTTAATGTTTGTTTTTTTAAGCTGAGTTTAGTATCCCCTCTTTCCTTAAATGATAAGGCTCTTGAGGTGGAAAGAATGAACTCTTTTTTACTTTCTTGGATACCCTTCGCAGCTTCTACTCGCAAATAAACTCTAGATGTAGATAGTTTCTAAGTCTTTTTTTTTTTTTTTTAATATATTTTATTGATTTTTTACAGAGAGGAAGGGAGAGAGACAGAGAGTTAGAAACATCGATGAGAGAGAAACATCGATCAGCTGCCTCCTGCACACTCCCCCACCGGGGATATGCCCGCAACCCAGGCACATGCCCCTGACCGGAATCGAACCCAGGACCTTTCAGTCTGCAGGCCGACGCTCTATCCACTGAGCCAAACCGGTTTCGGCAGTTTCTAAGTCTTAAGACCTTGCTAGGTAAATGCAAAGGTGCTCATAGGTGCCTATGAGTGTCAGATATTTTGTTTGGGGGTGACATTATTTGGATTAATTGTGGTCTCTTAGAATGATAAATGAATTGTCATTACTTAAAACAAAGTGATTTTCCATTTTCCAGATTGCTTCACTAAGCTGAGACTATTATGTATTAAAAAGTCCTTAATCCTAGATACTTATAATCTTAATCCAAATTGAAAAACAAAAAACTTCCTCTTTTCTGTACAGTTCCCTGTACCTCAGGTCTGGAAAGCTGCTTAGATTTGACATACTCTGTCTCATCTGATTGCTTCCAGGTTTCTTTGCCTGGTCTTCCATCTCTCCATGGCCTGGCTCTTCCCTATCTTTTCAGCTTAAATTCTTCCCACTCCACTGCACTGTTCAAGCAACAGCAGACTGCTTAAGACTGGCAGTCTTTTTGTCCAATTTAACTCTTCCTTGCCCTTGTTCTGCTGTTACTTCTGCATGAAATAAGTCCCTTACCCTTTCTTTTCATTCCAGGTTTCCTTGTAGCAGGAATTGTACTAGATACCAGGCTCTCCTTTATGCTATTAAAGTTGTGATCTTTCCTCACAAGTAACCACACCACATACAGGGTGGGGCAGAAGTAGGCTTACAGTTTGTGAGTATGCAAAACACAGAGTTTATTCTTGTATTATTACTTATGAATTGATGCATTATTTTCCATCTGAGCAACTGTAGACCCACTTTTGCCCCATCCTATATATTAACTTGTGTTACCAAAATAATTAGGTATGTATAACTTAGTAAAATTTGAGGATATATTATGATATGGGTACTAGTTACTAAACATAAATCAGTTAATATTTTATTCTGCACTTTAGAGCTAACATCAAATCTAGTTAGTTTTTATTACTGTGGAATGTATGTAATAAGGAAAAAGTTTGCATTTTTGGATTATCCAAAAATTATCTAAGAAACAGATAATCTTTTAGTTCAGGACTAACAGAACTTTCCACAATGATGAAAAAGCTCCAAATCAGAGCTGTCTACTGTAGTAGCTCTTGGCCACATGTAGATCTTGAGTACTTACCCTGAGGAGCTGAATATTTAATTATATGTAATTTTAATTAATTTAAATTTCAGTAGCCTCATGTGGCTAGTGACTACCTTAATGGACTATGCCATTTTAGTTATTTGCAATGTCATAAAGTTGTAGAATTGAATGTTATTATGTTCACTAGAATTAAATTATTTGAGGTATCATGCAATGCCGTCCATTGAAAATGGGATTTCTTATTACTAGTACATTTGCTTTCATAAGGGAAAAATTTTTTTCCTCATTTTGGAGAAGGAACTTGCTTAAAATATGCTTCTGTTCCACCCAAAATAGCTAAGCCAAGAATATAATCTTTTTTTCGAATGTAGTAACTGGAATTTATCCAAGAAGGATCTGCTGGTGAATCTGCAGAGACTTGACTCAAACAGATGTACCTGGATTGCATCATAAATAAATGGACACAAAAATAGCTTGTTTTGTTTTTTTGTTTCCCTAGCAATAAAACTTGAAATATTTTCATAATATAAAAATGTACATTTTGTAATTGGAATTATCATTAGCTTTTGGTTAAATATTAGTTTTTCTACTAGACAGAAAGCTTTTGAACAATAATAATAATTGTCAAACTAAGCATTGAACCCAGTTGGTGATTGACAACATTTTTTAAATCTTAATTAAAAGCTACCATTGCGCCGAGACCGGTTTGGCTCGGTGGATAGAGCGTCGGCCTGCGGACTGAAGGGTCCCGGGTTCGATTCCGGTCGGGGGCATGTACTTGGGTTGCGGGCACATCCCTGGTGGGACATGTGCAGGAGGCAGCTGATCGATGTTTCTCTCTCATCGATGTTTCTGGCTCTCTATCTCTCTCCCTTCCTCTCTAAAAAATCAATAAAATATATTTAAAAAAAAAAAAAAAAAAGCTACCATTGTTAGAATTTAATTTAAATTATTTTAAATTACTTACAAAATTCTCTCAGGCCTAACTTCAGCAAACATGAGATTTTTTTATGTGGTTGTTTAGTCATTTTCAAAACAATGGCAAACAAAAAGGAAAAAACTAATTTTTGAGAAAACTGTAAATACTTTTTTATAGTTAAAATCCATTTTCTCATATGAGAAGTATTGCCTAAATACCTCACTTCTTAAATTAATGGATACACTTGATAGCTTAGTACTTATACATCTTATGGATATACATATAAATGTTATATGTTATGAAGTTACATTTTGGGCTTTTTGATGGTACAGAGTAGATGTGTGTTTGTCCTGTGTAAGTGTGTAGTGTGCTCACTTAGAATTTATTTCTCAAAGAAACAGCACTATCCTTTTTTTCAAAATTTGCTGAGATTATAGCTTTCAAATGGTTAGCTTATTTCATTACTATCGATAATTATTTCCATAGTCATTGCAGTTTTGCCAACACATTACAAAACCACAATAATCATGGAAATCATACTGTTAGCACTGTAATGGAAATGTTTCATTATGTAGGTTAAAAATAAAACTTGGATCATTTTAAGCTCTTTGTTTTCATTTTTTTAAAATTCTGTAAGAGAACTTTCTTAGGAAAAACTAGGTATGTGAAAATTTTCAACTAGAATTGCTTCAAATTATCCACAGTGATAAAACCAAACCAAAAAAAAAAAAAAATGGATTTTTATGTCTCACACATTAAGTCAGTACTGTTTTATTTTAAGCAAAATCCTCACCTTTGTAGAGAAACTAAATGTGGAAAGTTTCAGCATCAATAAATGCTTGAAAACAGATGTTTATTATGAAAAACCCTTGTTCATAGTGTTTAATGCCCTTCACAGAAAGTGCTATTAGAAGTGGGACCACAAGGGAGAGAGGGTGGTAGGGATGAAAGGGAGGAGGCATGAGGACAACCACGATCGGCCCTAGAATTCTCTTCCCTGAAAGTAGGATTATGTTTAGGTTGTTTTACAGGTAATCCAGGCAGCTCTGGAGAAAGAAAAGAGGGTTCCAGATGCCAGCAGAACATTAGCACTGGAAAGGCAACCTGGAGAATGTCCTGTCCAGTATAGCTCTAGGACACAGCAGAGATGTAAGCCTAGTGCATGCCCTCTGATGCAAAAGCCTTTAATCCTAAACAGTTACAGATTTCTAGTTTTTGTTAAATTCATATCCAGAAAAATCCTGTTTTTCCCTCTGCCTTTAGAAAATGTGCTTCAGATCAGAGACTTCATTACAGACAGTGGAGAAGGGTTTTTACCTTTTCAAAACCCAAGGAGCAAGGATCTAGACATCTTCAAGATTTTCCATAATTTCATGCTCATCTAGTCATGTAACATTTTCCTACAAGATTTAACTTAATTCGCTGCTCTTCAGTATTACTGGACCTGGGAGCAAGGTTACATTCCAACTTTCCCATTCATTTTAACCAGCTCAGCATTGGCTCAAACCATATACCTCAGTATTTCCAGTGCTGAATTTTGCTCAAATTAGGCATTCTAAATTGTTCTAAACTGTTCTTTTGGATATGAACAGATTAGAACTAGTTGTTAAAATAAAAAGCAATCTCTCTTTAAATGATCAAAACCAAATCATGTACTATATTAGCCAACAGAATTTAAGATTTTAATGCAATAATTGAATGTAACAATTTCTGTTAGTTTTAATTGAATGAACAATAATATGATTTAAACAAATTTTTAAGTCTTTTGAGTTTAATTTTTTTTTTTCTTAAAGCACTGTTGAGCCAGGCTGGTGTGATTCAGTGGTTGAGTGTCGACCTATGAATCAGGAGGTCACATTTCTGGTCAGGGCACATGCCTGGGTTGCCACCTTGATCCCTAGTAGGGAGTGTGCAGGAGGCAATCAGTCAGTGATTCTCTCTCATCATTAATGTTTCTATCTCTCCCTCCCTTCTTCTCTGAAATCAATAAAAATATATTTTAAAAAAATAAATGCACTGTTAAACTTTTTCTAATCAGGCTGGTGGTGCAGGGCCAGGAGAAATGAGTGTAAAGGCAGCATACTCTGCCTCACTGTTACCTGGACAGCCTTTAGTTCAAGGAATATGTGATGTCACCGGATTTCCTGGAATGGTTAACTCTAAATAATCTCATCTATACAATGGAAATGACTTAAAACTCAATCAAACCAACCTTTTACTGTTTTTAAGATTACTCTTCTATCCAAATTTTATTCTAGTCTTAAATACTTTGTTGGAGTAAGCATGATACTGAGAAATATGATTTAGGAATAAAAAGACATAAGACCTATCTGTAATACTTTAGCAATAAAGATAAATTTTTAAAAAAGAAGAAGAGAAGACATAAGACCTAAGGGAGAAGAATAAAATACTTTTGAGATTTATTACACTTATACCCAATTTTATGGACTTACAATGGAAATTCAGATGCTTTTTTCCCTTAGAAAATAAATTATCTTAATGGAGCAAATAATATTAAGTGTCTCTAATTAAACTGTATCATAAACTATGTGTTTTATAGCTTTATGTTTTATTTTATTCACAAACCAAATGGATTTCCCACCATTTTACAATGAAAACTAGACTTTCCCAAAAGATTTTTCCTGAAGATATTTTTTTGTAGAAATGTCCCATTTTCAAGATAATGTAAATGTGTTGGCCTCTATCATTCCCATGTTCTAATTTGAACCTCTGCATTTTTGAGATGTATTTGTTTCATGTTATTGAGATGCAGTGTTTTGAAAGTATCTAGTCCCTTGGCCATAATATTGTGCACCACTACCACCCCTGGTGGCAAATTAACCATCTGCACTTAACCATTCTACTTGGTAGGATTTGGCTTTAGTGTTTTTCACCAAAAACTTAGAAAATAATGTCTGTAGATGTTTCTCGATGAATAGTTAAAGTCATGTGAAATTGGAGCAATAATCTTCCTTCATCAGGCAAGTGAAAATGAAATAATGATTCACGAAGACATAAATGTTGATTTTTTTGTTTCAGACCTGAAGATTACCGGCTATAAAGAAATGAAAATTGCAGAAAATCACAACGAGGTGATTGAAACTTCTTCCTGATGAGTTTCCCCTGACCTGCAGGGCCAAGTGAAGCGCTCCTGCATTGGGGTGGAAGCTGTTATGGGCGCTAAAAGGTGGTGGAGAAAGGTCAGGAAGGGATCTTCCTTCTACAGGAAATTGCAATAGAATACATTATTTTATAGAACTGCTGTCATGTAAATTGGATTTGAATGTTATCAGTAGTGATAAGAATAAAGTTGGCTAACTATTCCATTTTGCATTTATGAAAAAAACAAGTCCTGGGTAGCATTGCAGTGAAAGTTGCTAATAAGGACCCATCTGTGCACATTTCCTCAAGTTCCCCACCACTCTTCCTGCCAACTGGGAAGAGAGCCACCTTCACTTTTCCTTCCATGACTACTTTATCTAACCTCCTGTCCTTCTAAATTGACCCTTCCTCTCAGCAGGGTAAGATTTCCCCTAAAGTATTTACAAACTACTACCATCCTTTCCCCATCTAGCCTCTTGGTTCCCATGATACCAAAATAACAAAGTAATGCCTAACTATTCCCTAGAAACCTCACTGCCCGCTCTGTGCTGTTTGCAGACCTCTGTGCCATATCTCTATACCTCCATAGGCTCCTACTCACTTCTGTCCTGGGCACTTAGATTGAGCTGCTGGAATAATCTAGCAAAATCTGGTCTCTAGAAATTAATTGCTAAGCCACTGTATTTGGCCATTTTTATGATGTTTTTTCTTGTTTTCCTTTCTCTTGCCCTAGCCCCGTGGTTGGCAAACCGCAGCTCATGAGCCACATGTGGCTCTTTGGCCCCTCGAGTGTGGCTCTTCCACAAAATACCACGTGGGGGCGGGCACGTACAGTGTGACTGAAACTTCGTGGCCCATGCGCAGAAGTCGGTATTTTGTGGAAGAGCCACACTCAAGGGGCCAAAGAGCCCCATGTGGCTCGCGAGCTACGGTTCCGAGCCACAGTTTGCTGTCCACTGCCCTACCCAATTAAGGGGTGGATTTCAGACCATCTTTCCCATCCATTCAGCAAAGTGTATTGAATGCTTGCTACATGCCAGGCATAGTGCTAAGCATCGGGAAAACAGAAATTACACATCTTCCCCCAACACATGCCCCAGCAAAGAGTGTACAGGCTACTGCAGAGTGGAAAGGAACTATAGAGAGATTGTAAATATGTGCACCTGGGTGTCAGAGTTGCTGATGTGGTAATGTGTGGCCTCTGATGTATGTTTCAGTAGCTGGCATTAAACATGACGTGTTGCTAGAAACCACCTGCTGGTGTGCAGGGCACAACTGCTTTACATAAATTAATTCACTTACACCATACATCAGCCCTATAATGTATATAGTGTTATCCTCTCCTTATCAAGGTCACAGAACTGATTTAAATCCGGGTTGATTGGCTCAAAAGCCCATGCATGGCCTTAGCCATTGATAGATGAGAAAAAGTGTATTTATATTTACGTATCACAAATTCTGTAATAACACAAGCATAACCTGGTACAGGTCAACATCTGCCATTCACAGCGAAGTGGCAGTTAGATTTAAACTGTCGGACCAAAAACAAAAGAAATAATAAAAATAAAAAGTGTCGGACCAAAAAGCTGTACCCCTACTTCACCCCTGACCTCTGACATGGTCATCTTAGTTGGGCACCCATAGGAAACAAGCCCCAAGCTCCTGGGGCAGCAGCTTTAACCAGGAGGAATTTTTGTCTCATGCATCCTAAGCATCCTCCCTGATACACAGTTCTTGGTTTAGAAACGCTCATGGAAGAAAGTCCTTGTTTCCAACAAAACTGCAGGATTTGGAGAGGTGAGATAAAATGTTCTATAAGAATATTGAGCCCAAGCATCATAATATTAAATATTCAATCGTCAACCTTGCTTGCTGGGGGTCGGGGAGGGGGGACTGCTGATCCTACAGACCGATAGAGACCTACACTGGAGCTCTATGTTGGCAAATGAATGCTCCTCCCTGCTGTTAGGAACTAACTCCATTTTGCTTTTGGATAGAACCAGACCAGAGAGGCTTTAGCACCAAATCAACAGCCCATTTGCCATTGCTTGAATGTTTACCAGCCTGACCTGCACATGCCCTAAGAGACCACATCTACAAGCAGCCAAATAAAACCACAACTCTGGCGAAGGAGACCCAGCAACCTGAGGGAGGAGGACAGCCTGAGCCAATAGGATCAAAGTAAAATGAAGAGATGAAACAGAAGAGAACTTTAAAAAATAAAAATTCTTGCAGAAAAAGAAGGAAACCCTAATCATTTCAAGAATCATTTGGGAAGGAAACGCAAACTGATGTATATATTCTGTTACTATGTATGTCTGTAATGTGAAAATTGGTGCACATAAAGAATTAAGTCATTAAAACCAAAGAGGTACTTGCTCATACACAATTTTCCACCAGGAGCCAGTGTGCGGCGCTATTGGGTAACACCAGGTAAATGTGAAAAGCATCCAGCCGATCATAATGACCTGTGGGAGAATAATGCGAAACACCTTATCTCTCCACTTCACCCAAGCCAAGTGCACTGCTGGTGGCAGTTTCTCAGTAAAACCTGAGGACGTGTCCATATTAGAAGTAGCAAGGCAAAAGGAGCCTCAAGTACTTCAATGTTTCGAAGTAAGAAAATGTGACATTGCAATGTCCAGTTGGCCCAAAGTAATACAATGATGAACAGAGGAGACACCGCCGAGAACGAAAGCAACAGAGGGCTTCATCTTAACTTCCAATAATTGCCCGCTCTCCTGGTAACTGAAAATGGGAAAGGCCTCCTCTGCCATCTGATCTCATCTGGGGCCACTGGACAGCTTCTGTATGTGGAGCGCAAAGAACACAACCATGGGAGTTGGATTTCTGTTTTAAGCCAGTTCGGAGGAATGGAGAAACAAGACAAGAAATCAGAGCTATCTACCCCATTTCATTTGAAAAATTATAAACACCTCTACCGGGCAAACTTCATGTCTTCTCAAAATAACATTCTATATTTAATAGAATGTGTCTTTATGAAGAACTTCAGATGCTTAAATTAAAATTGTGGTAGTTTTCTTGTATCACTTACATGATGGGTCAGTGTTTGAGTTTTCTGCCACAACTCCATTTTCCCATACGTCCTATTATTTTGGGGGCGCAAAATTCCATCGCAGAGGGATTCTTTTTTAGGAATGCATACGCCACATTGTAGGATTATTGGACATATGTACTCACTGTAATTACTGTTTCATCACATCCTTCAGCAGAAGTGGCCACAAGTGAGATACTGTACAAAAGGCTGGTGCCATCTCCTTGACAGGGCTGGGCCACAGTAGGGAGCTCCTCACTGCAAGGCCTCCTGGATGGGCAGAGCAAAGCTGTTGTCAGAGCCTATTCACACCTCCAGGTGTGGGATATCTTGGGTTCAATCAGGACCCAGCGGATGAGCCAACATAAAGCAAGTCTTTAAAGCCATCCTTTGCCCAGAATGCAGTCCTTTCCTTTCATATTCCAATTTCTACTCTAAATTTACAAAGTGAATACTGAGGATTGTGGCTGGCCAGATTGATAAATAATGTCTCTCAATTTAGATATATGGGGCCATGGGCTGGCCCAGAGACTAGGGCTGGTGGTCATGAAGTAACACTGCCATCTTTAAAAGGATCGAAGGGCAGAATTTTGTTTCACTTGTAAGATTTAACCCAAATGAAGGTTTAAAATAGGCATGCGCAAACAAAATGGAAACAGACTCAGATACAGAGAAAAGACTAAAGTAGGGGGAGTAGAGGGTGGGTGAAAAAGGTGAAGTGATAAAGAAGTACACAGTACCCTGGCTGGGTTTTCTCCGTGGTTAGAGTGTTGGCCAGCGGACCCAAGGGTCTTGGGTTCGAGTAGGGGGTTTGATTCCCTGTCAGGGGCATGTACCTGGGTTACAGGTTCCCCAGCCCTGGTAGGGGTGCATGTGGGAAGCAACCAATTGATGTTTCTTCCCCTCCTCCTCCCCTTTCCCTCTTTCTCTTCTCTCCCTCCTTTCTCCCACTTTCTCTTGAAATCAATGGGAAAAATAACTATGTGTGGTGCCAGGTGGGTACTGGAAACATGGGGGGAGATCACTTTGTAAAGCATATGATTGTCTTACCAATACGAAATAATATTGGACGTAAATTGTAATTGAAAAAAAAAAATCTCCTGGAAAAAAATGCATGTAAACTGCCGTTTTTATCATATTCTTACTACAGTTTCTTCTCCTTTCTTGCTAATTCCCTCCCAGCCAGATCTCGACACTGCTCCCCTGCCTGTGCCCCCATCTTTTTTTCTATGCTGCAGTCGACTGATTTGTTTTCCTACCTTCTCCTGGAAAACGGGGTTCGTCCCACCCTCAGCCAAGAACAACATTCAATGTCCAGGTCTTTCCTGGCTGAAAATCCCACCATGGAACAGGTAGCAAGTTCTGAGTGTGCGAAGCCAGAAGCCCCAGGAGGGATCCTGCTGCCAATCTCTACAATGCCCCGTTTGAATTGGATAGAACCCTATTTCAGAAGGTCCGATCCTTCCAAGACAGACATTAAGGCTCCAGTTCAACTTAAACACAGACTCTTACAGAGAAATGGTAATTCTCTCTCTCTCTCTCTCTGCCCAAAAATCTAAAGTAAGAGTTGAGTACTTTTGCAGCATCACTACTGCTCGGGGCTTCGCCTTCAAAGAATGCAAACCTGAGCTCCGCTACTGGTAAAACAGAGGCAGTCGCTGCCCCTGAGGGCCAGCTTTCATAAGGTGGGCTGCCAGGAAGCCTGAGGATCCATTTTCCACGTGGAGACAGCACACAGCACCTCTGAAGGACACACATGTCTGTGTCACTTCCATTTGGTCCATTAGAAGCTCTTTGATTTCAAACCAATCTTCATTTCAAGGCTGAACTTCGAGCTCAGCCCTCCCTTTCTAATTCCAACGTTAATACCTATGAAAGGCTTGCAAACAGTGGCGGCTAGAAGACCCTGTGTTGCTAGTGGAACACCTGTGCCTTTGTAGGTCGCTGTGGGGCTCCAGCTTGTCCACTTGTATTAAATCATTCAGAATCGACCCTGAGATGACAATGCCACCTGGCATCTTCGTTAGCCATCACAGAACTAAAAAGGGCCTTGAGGTTTAGAGAAAATTCTGAATATAAAGCATCTGCCCTTGACTTTTTTTGGCAGAGTCACAAAGCCCAAATCAAATATTTTTATAACTTCTTAGAAAAGTGATTTTATTGTTATGCACTGTTACTGCGCACGGTGTGTGTGCAGAGCAGAAAGTCTTGGAGAAATGTGAATGTGTATGTGCTTCAGAAAATTTGATCTGGAAGCCTAAACCTTGGAAGCAGTGGTTAGTAGCACCTAGCACAGTGTCTGGCTCTTGTAAACCTCTAAAAGAGTGCCTGGCACATAGTAGATTTATAGTCTATAATAACTGTTGTATGAGTGACAGCAGCTATATTTGCTATGTAATACTAATATATATTTCTGGGCTCTTAATAAAAGTTGATTTCTTTATTATCTAACATTATAATACAAATGTTCCTGATTAGTCACGGACCTCCACAAAGTCATTTTGGTACCCAAACACCTTCCATCTCCTCGTGACTCCACCCTCCTGTGAGACCTTGGAGTCTCTGCATTCAGGCGGCAAATGAGAAAGAAGCAGGTGGACAAGACACACATACTTCTTCATTCCCTCGACTTGGAATTTGGAAACATATTCCATTGGTTGAGAAAATGTCTCCTAGCCCATACTAAGGGAGTCTGGGCAATAAGCAGCTAATTTGTATTCAAGAAGAGAATATGGTTTTGGCTGAAGGTAGCTAGTTTCTGACACAGCAGCCAATATGAAATTATCTGAGACCTCGATAGGAGAATTTTTTTGGTGATACCAGAGTTAGAAAGATGAGAAATCCAGACTTTAACCAATTAAGGAAAGAATGGATAGCCAACAACTCCAAACTGATATAGGTCCCTGCGGAGTAACAAAGCAGGTGATTGATTCCAAACACACCTGATGTTTCTGCAGTCAGTGGCTGTTTTGATAGGCATGAAAAAAAAGTAAGTGTTAAGGTTTAGAAATACAGTCCAAGCCACAATCTTTCTGGTAACCATCAATGTCATTGTTCAGACATCTAGGAATATGACAGCAGAAACCATCACCCTCTTTCCACACTGCCAAGCTGCTGGGTCCGTGGGCTGCTGGGTAAATGGTCAGTGTGATCACTCCCATCCTTGAAAGTTATTTTTAGCCATGCAGGTATAGATCCAATTCCTTCAGAAACCCCCCCAGATAGGGACTGCTAGTATTTGAGGAGAAGAAATACTTCCCCAAAGCTATAGAATGTGGACAGACGGTTACTGCTCCTGCACAGTCAGCTTTTGCGTTGCACCCAGGTGTCTAGCTTTTCTGTTGTTCAGAATCTCCAGCCTGGTTTGATAAAACATGCTCACACTAGAGTGGAATCAGATATAGAACCTGCTGGCGACACTCCAAGAACATGAGCAGGCGGCCAGTGACAAGAGAGATTTAGTTAGCAGGGCCTCCTGTGGTGTCCAAATCTGATAACTGAAATGTTTATAAAAAGAACTCTTTGTGAGTTTCAACCCTTTAAGCCTCTAACTTTCCAGTGCGCAGGCACAATACAGACACATACATGAGAAAGGACAAGTGAAGTGAAAACACATGAATTTTCTAATAACCCAATTCTCTTCAATACATCCGCTCAATAACTGAGCTCATTCACATACTAATGATTTCTCCTGGTGAAAGTCAAACTGATGAACACTTTTGTGACATGATTTTTAGGACATAACAGGGATAGAGTTTTAGCAGGATTCAATGAATTTGAGCCACATGAAAGGACAGTAAAAAGTAAAAATGTCTTCAGTAATTAAATGTCTCTATTCTGGCTCACTCAGTTAGTTTTGCTTTGTTACCATACAAGATTCATTTTAGATCTGAAAAGAAAAAGATAGTTTTACTTATCTGGGCTTTGTCATAAAACATCTTTTAATTTAGGTTAATAAAGTTGAATTTCACAACATTGGTGGTGGATATTTTTTAATCAATAAGATAAAATACATTTAAACAAAGAAACAAGCAACCAAATATGGTTACTCATGCCAGCATGTTGTTATTAATTTAGCAACGTGCAGAGAAGAAAGAAATCATTACTAACATTTATGCCTTTATTAATGCTACCAAGACAAGTCATTCCACCATTCCTGGTAATGCAGTTAGCCCTCTGCCCCTTTCATTCGCCTTTTAAAATTGTCATTGCTGCCTGGCTGGTGTGGCTCAGTGGTTGAGCATCGACCTATGAACCAAGAGGTCACAGCTCGATTTCCAGTCAAGGCACATGCCCAGTTTGTGGGCTTGATCTGCAGTGTGGGGTGTGCAGGAGGCAACCCATCAGTGATTCTTATCATTAATGTTTCTCTCCCTCTCTGAAATCAATAAAAATATATTTTTAAAAAATTATCATTGCCTACATCTTTCTAAACATTAGTGCTCATTTTTCTTCATTTATCCCACGCCATTAATTACGAAGATATTAAAAAGTTAATAGATTCTTTTATAAAGTAGAATTTTACTCTAAAAAATTTTTGTGATTTTCCTGTAAAATATTAAGCTTGTGAAAACACCCTGTTGTTGCAAAATATTTTTCAAACAATATAGAAACGTTAAAGATGAACAGTTAAATGAAATTAACATTTACTTTAAATAAAGTAAAAGCTCCCTGCAATCCCATACCCAGGAGGTCACCATGGTTATGCATCTGGAGTTTATTCATCCCAATTTTTCAGTGCGGATAGATGAACAGAGTAATAGGGAAGTATTGTAGAGCTATTCTACCACTTGCTTTTTTCATTTAACAAAGATGTACCTTGTGTCAGCCAAATTTTCAATTTATTCAGTCTGATAATAAGGTAAAACTATTGCAAGTATACAAGTATACTCATGTAGTCAATTTTTGTTAATGATAGAGTTACCCTAAAAAGTATAGAATAATGAGGACTTTGTGGCAAAGAAATTCTCTGGACTCTGAGCTTGTCTAGAACAAATGACCCCTTTACATCAGTGTTTCCAATGCCACATCAAATCAGAACGAAAAGTTATGATTTTTTTAAACCAAATATTTTGGTTCATACCTTGGAAACCTTCATTCTTCATTTGAACAGCCGTTCTTGTTGGGGACAGGCCCAAAGGGATGAAGTCTTGCCTGGTTATTCCAGCCTAAATTAGTCATCCAAAATCATTCCACCCTGTTCATCCTTCTTAAGCCCCTATCTGCTACTAATACTGTATTTACTCTGGAAAAAGCAGACAAACCTCAAAACCAACATGCCCTTCTAAGATCATTCTCTCTTCCTCCTCAAGTTTCTAACCTTCGTGAAGTTACCATTTTTACCTTCTGCCTGTCCCTCCACCCCCACCCCTGCCCAACCCCTCAGTCATTCAATTCTGCCCATAATACTTCCCATCAGTTCCCAAAGCTGGCTTCTCCTCTGATTTCTCACTGCACTATTGTGCTCCAGGCCCTCTCACCTGAACCACTGTAACAGGAAGCATGGTATATACAGGGGAGGGGGCATGAGCTATGGGAGCAAACTAGTCAGAGTTGGAATCCCTCTTTGCCTCTTCTATGTATGTATATATCCTTGGACATGTTACTCACCTTGCATACTTGATCCTTTGTAAAAAGGGAACACTTAACTTATAAAAGCTAGTAGTACAAGGCTGGTTTTCATCTTCCTTGATCTTTCCCCAAACTAGTCGGTCATGTACACTATATTGTGCCTCCAAATAATAACTTCAATTAGGTGACTCATCTGCTTAAAGACACCCGCTGACTTTCCATTGCCTTCAGGCTGAAATCTGAACATGTTAGCAAAGGATAGCTCTTTCACAGTCTGGTCCAAATGAGCTTACCTGCTTCAACTTAGAGCAAGAAGTTAGGAAGGTCCTATGCCATTGCATTCATCTTTTTCTCTCCAGCAACCCAACACATGGCTGAACCGATGGTGGATGTTAATTAGAAGTTTGCTAGGTGGATGGATGCACACATGGACAATTACATGAACACACAAATGAACACATGAATAAATTAATATGAAGACATTTAAATACCTCTACCTCATATTCTGAAATACCTAATGAATCTGAATTTGCCAGCTTTTATAAAAGCTGGTCATTTGTTTCAAGCTTTTATAAAAGTTAGTCATTTGAATTATTCCTATCTCTAGAGAAAATTTAGAGCAAAATCTAGAGAAAAGTCTTTCCACTGTACGCAGAGTGTGATTTTTTTATTGTAAATTTTACTTACTTTTTTACCTTTGTTGAAAGTATTACTGATATCCCCCATTGATCCCCTTCTCCCGACTCCCACCTGCTCCCCATGCCTTCACCACACTATTATCTCTGACCATGGCTCATGCATATATGCATATAAATTATTTGATTAATATCTTCCCACCCCATCTTCCCTCTGAGATTTGTCAGTCTGTTCCATGCTTCTATTTTGTCAGTTTATTTTGTTCATGAGATTCTGCATATAAGTGAGATATGTGATATTTGTCTTCCTCTGATTGACTTATTTCACTTAGCATAATAATCTTCAGGTCCCTTCATATTGTCTCAAAAGGTAAGAGATCCTTTTTTACTGCTGCATAATATTCCATTGTGTAAATGTACCGCAGCTTTTTTATCCACTCATCTACTGATGGTCACTTGGCCTATTTCCAGATCTTAGCTATTGTAAATAATGCTGCTATGAGCATTAGATTATAAATGAAACTGCTAGGATGAAATGATTCTAAACATTTATTCAGCAGCTGACAAGTGTTAAGCACACTTAGGCAATCTGAAACCTCTTAAAGAATGTACATAAGTAATATGGGAGCACAGAGGTTAAAGAACTAACTAGAAAAGGTGACTGTGGTGTCATGATTATCAAGGTTGTCCAGGTGGTTGTACTGGGGCTCAGGGAAGGCTTCTCACAGGAAGAGAAGCCTGGCTGAGTTTCAAAGATTGAGTATGAATATAAGTAGGTCATTTGAACTAGGGTGAGGCAGAAAAGTAGGGCTTTCTGAGCTGCAAAAAGAAAGCCTGTCAAAGATAAAGAAACAAGAGAGGGCACGCAACGAGTGTGTTGCAACTAGTTCATTGTGGCTGTGGTTTGGAGAATATTTGGCTGAGAGATACGTTTCAAAATAAAATAGAAAAAAATAGGTTGGAGAATTTGTGCAAACAAAAATGCAAGGATAGTAGAATACAGGATACTCTTCAGGTGACTTCATTCATTCCTGTGGCCTAAATACCACGTACATGTGCATGACCATTAAACCTCTATATCCAGTACCTCTTCTAAGCTCGAACTCTCCTTTTTTAAAAAATATATTTTATTGATTTTTTACAGAGAGGAAGGGAGAGAGATAGAGAGTTAGAAACATCGATGAGAGAGAAACATCGATCAGCTGCCTCCTGCACATCTCCCACTGGGGATGTGCCCGCAACCCA